GCGCGAAAGGAGCTTCTTAAAAACTGTCGCACCACATGATAACCGGCACCCGCTTCCAAGACACACTCTTCTGAACATCTTCACCACACATTCCTCTGCACCCCAACACTCCCCACCACAATATGGTACAACTTCCCGTGCAAGTGAAAGCGGCACGTGTGGTGCAAAGGTATGGTGCATCACACATCTGCTGTCCTTTGATGCTTAGGCTCAGCAGTAATAGCAGTACTGGCAGACATAAGACCTCAGCATCCCCTGTTCCCTCCCCTTCCCTCCCCCTCCCAACCACCTCAAAAAGAGCGTGTGTGTGTGTGTGTGTGTGTGTGTGTGTGTGTGTGTGTGTGTGTGTGTGTGTGTGTTAAAGAGCGAGGGAGGGAGGGAGGGAGGGAGGGAGGGAGGGAGGGAGGGAGGGAGGGAGGGAGGGAGGGAGGGAGGGATGAGGGAGGGAGGGAGCGAGGGAGGGAGAGAGGGAGGGAGGGAGGGAGGGAGGGAGGGAGCGAGCGAGGGAGGGAGGGAGGGACGGAAAGTGGGAGGGAGGGAGGGCGGTAGGGAGGGAGGGAGGGAGGGAGGGAGAGAGGGAGGGAGGGAGGGAGGGAGGGAGGGAGGGAGGGAGGGAGGGAGGGAGGGAGGGAGGGAGGGAGGGAGGGAGGGAGAGACGGAGGGACTGTGGGAGGGACGGAGGGAGGGACGGAGGGAGGGACGGACGGAGGGACGGACGGAGGGAGGGACGGAGGGAGGGAGGGAGGGAGGGAGGGAGGGAGGGAGGGAGGGAGGGAGGGAGGGAGGGAGGGAGGGAGGGAGGGAGGGAGGGAGGGAGGGAGGGAGGGAGGGAGGGAGGAGAGACGGAGGGAGGAGAGACGGAGGGAGGGAGGGAGGGATACATGGACCGTTTGAAAGGGAGGAATGGAGGGAGGGTGAGAACCCGGAAGCCATGTCCCTCGGGGGCTGCTTCGCCGTACTCTGGAGCTAGCTGGAGACTGACAGTCTGCGAGCCTGCGGTGGAGCTCCCCCAGACGGCATAGGTAGTAGCTATGACGGGAGTAGGATGCCCTTAAAGACAAGGCCTTGCTTGATTGAACTCACCTTCATTGTCTGTATACCGCCATGAATTTAATGAATCAGTGAATCAATGAAAAGGACCATTTGAGAGAGACAATGCATGTCTGTATCTTTACGCCTATATCAATCCAAGGGCCGTTAGAGAGAGACAAGGCGGAGACGTAGGGAAAGGGGGTCGACGTAGCTGTCACACCCGGCGCCGCTTGCAGGATCAAATTATGAGTCAACTCAAGAAAAGATTGGGGTAGACCGATCTCACAGCCGCTTGCAAGGTCAAAATCTGGACTTCTCTGCAATCTTGATATCAAATCTGCATGAACACTGAGGTGTTTACCCGCTCGCTGATGAGCATGATGTGGACGAGTGACGTCCGCGATTCGGCAACGGATGTTGATGATGATGGCTAAACAGCATGGTAGGGTTCCCTGGATCGCTGATAGTACCACCATCATCACGACGGTATGATGCTGGCGGTGGCAAGTGCCGTGATAATGCCGCCTGGTTGTGAGACCTCTCGGATTCACCGTGGTGCTGCTTTTCAGAAATTGCGGCGCATTCGTGCTGATTTGGCGCCACGTGGTAGTCGTGACGAGAGTTTCGGTTTTCTAGACGAACGCGTGCTGCTGCGGCTTCCAGCGGAACTTCCCGATCATCCGCCCGAATCGCCGGCATTGAAAGATCGCAAGTGTTGCAGGCTGCAATGGCGCCACTGGCGCTGGGGTTGTAGTAGTACACCCCGCCGCCGGCGGCGGCTATTTGAGCAAGCCGTTTCCGTATCCGCATTTCGCGGTATCACTAGATTGAAGCGGCGGCGGTGCGATCAGACAATTACTACTACTAGTAGTACTAACGCATGACCAGAGGTTCCCGTGTTACTACTAACGCATTTGGCACTGCTACTCGACTCGAGAGGGGTTTGCCGCATTCACAGCACTTTTCCCGTTGAACGCATGTTTGCAGTCCTACTAAGTTCTTGCAGTGGGACCAATCACAAAAGAGTCAGTTGCATGAAAGAGCCAGTTGCAGTTTCCTGATTTCTTCTGGCAAACGATTGTCTTCGGATCTGGCCACTGCCGGGATGGGACGGGCACTTCCCCCCATCCCAGCCAAACCCTCATCGATCAAGAGGTGCGGCAAGAAGACGACTCAGGTTCGGGAATTTTATCGGTTTGGGTTTGGGACCGGCAGGGTGGGCCACGCCTGGGATGCCAGTTTGCCAGCCAGCTGTGCGCGCCCTCCTGGGTGGCCGGGCATGTAGCGGCCGCGCGACAACAACGAGATCATCGCCAGCTAAGCGGAGAAATAAAAAAGGCTGCCTCATCCCGCGCGTGACAACAGGGTGGCCCTTGCCCCCCCATGCGTGACTTCTGATTGCTGTACAATCCAGCCCAGCCCAGCCCCAATCCAACCCCACCCAACCCCAACATGGTTCCCCCAAACCAACAACTGCTACGATTTCGCCTGAGTCCCTCGATCCGGCGGGTGGCCGGCCGAAAACGGTTACTTCCGTTATCTTCCGCACGGTGAGGAAATTTCGTCACGAAAAATCGAGCAAGCACCAAAACCTATCGACCGACCTAGGTGTACAGTAAAATGAGCACTGAAATGGGTTGTGTTTGTCCTGTCTGGAGGTGAGGGGGCCCCTTCCTCCTCCTTCCCCTTTTCCCCCTCACTCCTTCCACCACCCCCCCTTCCCCCCCCCCCCCCGCTCCCCCTATGTGCTTTTCCTCCTCCATTCTCCCCCCTTTCTCCCCAACCTCCCCTTTTCCCTCGCCCGCCTGCCTCAGTCGTATCTGCAGCAGCAGCACCAACCAACTCGCCAAATCTCCGTCATCATTGGTGAATCGTTTTCGTATTTATGAAGGTTCTTGTGCACATTCTTGGATGTCCTTTGGTTGGTTGGGTTGGGTGCACGGCAGAAACCGGCTCATTCCTCGAATTACGAGGTCTGGCTGGAGTTGTTGTTACCGAATAATTTGGTGCATTTGGGTAGAGAAACGATATTTCAGGGTATGAAATGAAGGGACGCCTTGAGCGATACATAAAATTGGCCAGATACATAAAATATCATCACATTGGCCGCCGGAAAATTGCACGAACTGAGTCCGAAACATTCATTCCACTCAGTGTGTATTTCCTGATGGACACAACTCCCTCTACGTGGTTTTTGTGTGGGCACAACTCCCTCTAGGAAAGGCTGGTTTTGCTACGTGAATGTTCAAGCTCTAAGTTCCGGCTCTGTTTTTTTGCCCGTTACCAGAGTGGAAATCAAGGAAGGAGAAGAGTGGTCCGCAAAATGGAAACACAACTGATGAAAATTCACCAGAAATGCCAGAGGTACAAGTTTGTTTGCCAGCTTTCAGGTGGTGTGGTTCCCGTTTTCTGCCGCCTCCACTCCTTAGCGAGTCTTTCATAGAACAGTTTACAGTCCACAAACCGTCGACGAAACCTTGTTTACACATGCGCAGCGAGCATATCATGCTGATGTTCCGTAAATGACACGAACTATGAACAGATGTTGCAGCCACAGACTTGAAGCCACGTCGACGGGTTCAAACCAGAACTGCTGACATGGCGCAAATCTCGAAGTAATGTAGACATTTTTGCTCCATTATGTTACTGTAAATTGACATGATAATCAAGACCTGGGACAACAGCAGCAACACATTTTCCCATCTGGGCAGCAAGATTTCAAGTAAGGACTTCCTTCCTCCTGCAGCAATTCTACCCCCGCCATCCCGCCCCAGCGAAGATGCGACAATAGCCTCGGTCACATTTTTTACGGTTAGAATTCCGCATCCACAGGATGGATGGCATGCCTTGCCAACAAGCTTTCACGTCACGCCACGCCAAACCCCATCCCTCACACACTACAGTACCTCAACCTGTACACTCAGGTTCATTTCCGTTCAGCAGAAGCGGTTGCGTACGTTGCTGTGCACTGTAGAGCGGTTACATGCTCCCTCGATCCGAACCGTAGCTCACCAGCCTAAACAGAGATTCGTGAACTCTAAGCGAAACTCATGTTGACCCGCTCTAATGTTACCGTAAGTGTACTTGGCTGTGTCAAATGGTGAAGGTATATAATTACCTAAACAATAGTTCATGGCCCATGGCATCTCTTGAATCTCGAAGTGCTTCGGGTTCCTTCCTCACTATTTTGTTCGCGTAGTTGTTTCGTCCTTGCAGAAGAACACCCTACATCCATTCCGGAAAAAAAACCCAGTAATCCTCACAATTTTGGCTCTAACATGTTAGCACATAAACCCTGAATCTGCAAGCCGAAGTCTCAGCTCTACACCCTAAATTCTCGTGTTAGTGCATTCCCTTCCCCGTCCAACCCGCTCATTATATCCACATCCTTCCATCTTTCTTCCCATTTAATATCTCTGGTATTGAAGTCACGCTTCCTCCTGCTCTCCTCCCCCTCCCATTCACGCTCCCCCTCCCTCGCGTCACGCCCCAAAAGCCTCCTTTCATTTTTGCCTCTTTCCTGTTCCTGCTCCTCACCGTCCTCCTCCCCCTCCTCCACCTTCTCCCCCTCGTTTAGGTGTTGCCCTTCCTGCTGCAGCTGCTGCCTGGAACCTTCCTCCCTCTGCCCCTCTCTCAAAAACACACCACCACTGGCAGCAGCAGAATTAGGGTCAGAATCAGTAGCAGCACCAGACGCAGCAGCAAAGGAATCACTAGTACCAGCAGCACCAGCACCAGCACCGTCAGCAGCCGCAGCAGCAGTTAAAGCAGAGGGAAGGGCAAGAGCAGGAGCGGTGGACGATCCATTGAGCTTCTGAATCAGCACGTCCTTGTGATAGCCCTGTGGGGGGGATGGGAGGGGAGGGGAGGGGAGGGGAAATGCACAGCACCACAAGGAGCACGTGACTGCGTGTGAGAGAGACAAGCAGAGAGGGGGAGAGAGCAGGGGGGGCCGTTGAGCCTCTGAATCAGCACGTCCTTGTGATAGCCCTGTAGGGGGAAGGCAGGGGATGGGAGGGGGGGAGGGGGGGCAATGTGTGGGAGAGCATGAGGGAAGAGCAGGGGGAGCCATCGAGCTTCTGAATCAGCACGTCCTTGTGATAGCCCTGTAGGGGGGAAGGAGGCACAGCACCAGTGGGGAGAGCAAGAGCAGGAGCGGTGGAGGAGCCATGGAGATTAGCACATCCTTGTGATAGAAGGGGGGAGGGGGGAATGGGGAAAGAAGGGGAGGGGGGGGAGCGGAAAGGGGGGAGAGGAGAGGGGGGAAGAAATGCACATTGCACAGCACCAGAGAAAACGCGTGCCTGTGTGTGTGAGAGCGACAGACACGGTACAGTGAGCAGGAGAGAGCAGGAGCGGTGGCGGAGCCGTGGAGCCTCAGAGAGGCGATGGAGGAGGGGAGGAAAGGAAGGAGAGGGGAGAATGGGGGAAGGGATGCACAGCACCACAGAAAACGCATGACCATGTGAGAGAGCGAAAAGCAAAGGGGAGAGAGCAGGATGACTGACTTGAACCGCAGAGCACTGCCCTGAACCGCAGAGCACTGCCCTGAACCGCAGAGCACTGCCCTGTACCACAGAGCACCGACCTGCACCGCAGAGCACCGACCTGAACCACGAAGTTGCGGCGCTCGCAGTCGAGAAACATGTTGAGGCGCCAGGCGGGCACGCTGCGGCAGATCTTGTCCCTCGTGTACCCAAAGCTGAGCTGGTCGCGGGACGTGAAGCGATCCACCTCGTTGAACCACAGGCACGCCATCAGGTTGCTGAGAGCCGTGTGCTCGCGCATTATCACACACCCTTCAGGGACGTCTGCGTTGATGGTGTGGTGTGGGTGGTGGGATGGTAGGGGGGAAGAGGAATGATGAAGACACACTGAGCTGGTCGCGGGACGTGAATCGATCGACCTCGTTGAACCAGAGGCACGCCATCAGATTGCTCAGAGCTGTGTGCTCGCGCATGATCACACACCCCTCGGGCACATCTGTGGTGAACGGGGTGATAAGGGAGGAGGGGAAGATGAACATGCCGCGCGGTGTGTGCCTCGTTGAACCACAGGCACGCCATGAGGTTGCTCAGTGCTGTGTGCTCTCGCATGCATGATCACACACCCAGGCCAGGCATGTTTGGTTGGGTTGTGTGGATGGTGGGGCAGCAGCAGGGAAAGAAGAGAGGTATCAGACCACCCACCACAGCAAAACACCCATCAACAAGCAAGCACCCACCACAGCTATCCAAGCACCTACCACTGATGATGGGCATCTTGTCCTCGGAAAAGGGCGTCATGCCATCACTGCGATACACCTCCATCTGCTCGTCGATGCTCGCGTTGCGATACTTCCCCGCCGCCTTGTTGGCCTCCGCCTCAACGAACACGTCAAACCGCTTGTAGTGCTTCGAGATCGCCCACGAGAAGTTGCCCCGCCACAGGAATCTAAGGGCAGAAGAAGAGGGTTGGGTGGGTGGGTGCATGTATGGGGTGGTGATGGGTGGGGATGGGTGGAAGTGGGTGAATGAACCTTGTTGGCCTCCGCCTCCACAAACACGTCACACCGCTTGTAGTGCTTCGAGATCGCCCACGAGAAATTCCCGCGCCAGAGGAACCTAGAGGGAGTGCACAGGGGCAGCAATGGGTGGGGATGGGTGGGAGTGGGTGCGTGAGACTTGTTGGCCTCCGCATCAACGAACACGTCAAACCGCTTGTAGTGCTTCGATATGGCCCACGAGAAGTTGCCCCGCCACAGGAACCTGTAGGTGCGAGAGGGGGTGCGCCGGGGTGATAATGGGTGGTAATGGGTGGGGATGGGTGGAAGTGGGTGGATGAGGGTGCAAGAGCCTTGTTCGCCTCCGCCTCAACAAACACGTCAAACCGCTTGTAGTGCTTCGAGATCGTCCAAACATGACCATACAGCACCGTACTCCACCGCAACATACCTTACAAGGATAACGTAGGGGTCCTGCATGAGCTGCCGCTTGGCGTCCACCCAGACATTGTAACACAAGGATACAGCACCACACGATACCATACTCTACCGCACCGCACCATACTCGCAGCACACAGCACCGCACCGCACCTCTCAAGGATCATGTAGGGGTCCTGCACGAGCTGCAGCTTGGCATCCACCCACACATCATAACCAAAGGATGCCACACCATACAACAGCATTCTGTACCGTACCACTGCACCGCACTGTACCGCACTAGATTGCACCGCATCGCACCTCTCAAGAATCATGTAGGGGTCCTGCACGAGCTGCAGCTTGGCATCCACCCACATGGAGAACTGCACGTTGGGGAAGAGGCGATGAATGAGCAGCTTGGGGATCTGCGGATTAGGAAAAGGGAAAGGGAGGGAAGTGCACAGATGGAGGCATAGAGGGGAGCGATAGAGGGGGGGTAGACGGGGCAGTTAGAAGAAAGCTTTGCGTCCACCCACATGGAGAACTGCACGTTGGGGAAGAGGCGGTGAATGAGCAGCTTGGGGATCTGCATGGGGTGTGGGAGAGGGGAAGGGAGTGGGGGTTCGGGGAACACAAAAGGCATAAGAAGTTGATGGAGGCAGGGAGTGGGAAGAGGGGGTGTTAGATTGTATCAGCTTCGCGACGAATACCCACATGGAAAAGTGCACGCTAGGGAAAACTGCACCCACATGTAGGAGCAGCTTACCTTGCATGTGCATCTGGGGCTCGTAGCAACTTACAGATAGAGCAGTTGAGCCCTATATGCATGGCGCTCTTAGGTTTCTCTCAGATAAATCTGAAGTCAACAAGACCTGATTGCACTCGTTGGAGGAATCTCTCCAATAGTGTCTCTCCTTAAATTCAACTAACCACGGGTCATTGAATTATGCTGCGCCATTGAATTATGGCGTATGAGAATGCAACACGACTTCTGGAAAATCTTGCAGTTGACAATGAAACTAGGCTGAACATTGCTGAGGTTGGTGCAATACCAGTGCTTGTCAAGGTATGGGTATGCTTCACATTCCATTTGGTGTTGCCGTATGGTTTCCACTAAAGCTGCGTTTTGCAGGTTGTCGCAATAACAACAAGCCAAACCTGCACTAACACAACTTTAGTAAAAAACATACGGGAACACTAAATGGAGTGTGAAAGATACCCATACTTTGACAAGCACTCGTATTGCACCGGCTTTAGCAATCTTCAGCCTGGCTTCATTGTCAACTGCAAGATTTTCCAAAAGTCGTGTTGCATTCTCATACGCCATATTACAGACCCATCGATGGTTGCGCGGCTGCTTGAGAGTAACATCCCTTATGAACTCCGTGAAGGTGGTGTGGTCCACAAACATCACGAAGCACAGCCGCACGCACTCTCTCTGCTCAACTGCTCATCTGCTCTCTCTACTCAACTGCTCCTTTACTTTACCATCACTATACTCCCATCCCGTAACTCGCCCTCCCTTCAACTTGCCCGTGCGCCTGGGGACCCTGTAGGGAGGGTTGTGCACCAGCACCAATCGCCACAGCCCCACGCGGCGGGTGCTTCATTGCCGTTCCCTCCCAGCACAAGCCCTTGACTCTATAAGACCCCATCAGCAGACCCCCCCCTCTCACCTTGCCGGTCCGCCGGGGGTCCCTGTAAGGAGGATTGTGCACCACCACCAGCCGCCACAGCCCCACTCTCCGTGCGCGGCTGCTTGAGAGTGCCATCTCGGATGAACTCGGTGAAGGTGGTGTGGTCCACAAACATCACGAAGCACAGCCGCACGCACTCTCTCTGCTCAACTGCTCCTCCGCTCTCTCTACTCAACTGCTCCTTTACTCTACCATCACTATACTCCCATCCCATAACTCGCCCTCTTCTCACCTTGCCCGTACGCCGGGGGTCCCTATAAGGAGGATTGTGCACGACCACCAGGCGCCACAGCCCCACTCTCCGCGTGCGCGGCTGCTTGAGAGTGCCGTCTCGGAAGAACTCGGTGAAGGTAGTGTGGGCCACAAACATCACGAAACGGTTTTGACGACTCTCAAAACTCTACAAACATACAAAGCACAGCCGCTCGCGACGCGCCAGGTTTGTGGCTGCTTGAGCGTCGCAAATGAACCGCCCGTTCTCACCTTGCCCGTGCGCCTGGGATCTCTGTAAGGAGGGTTGTGCACGACCACGAGTCGCCACAGGCCCACTCTCCGGGTGCGCGGCTGCTTGAGAGTGCCATCCCTTATGAACTCGGTGAAGGTGGTGTGGTCCACAAACATCACGAAGCACAGCTGCTGCCTCGCCTCCTCGCTCACGTTGCTCGGCTGCTGCACCACGTCGTATGCGCCTGGTAAGCACGGGCATGTGGGGGAGCACATCAAGAAGAGGAAGGAGGCGGGCATGTGGGGGGGCAAAGCAAGAAAGGGGTGGGGGATGAACTCGGTGAACCACGTCATAGGCACCTGGTAATGGAGGAAACGCACCGGGACGTACCACCACATGTAGCCCTTACCGAAAATGGCAGAGACGACCACGATATCAGAGCAGCGCTCCATGAACCGCTTGCCTGATCTCACTCACCACCAAGCAAAAAAAGCACAGCACCATGCCACTCCTCTCCCAAGGGTCTAACTCACCAAAGATGGCCGAGACGACCACAATGTCGTAGCACCGCTCCATGAACCGCCTGTCATCACTCACCACCACGCACAACAAGCACAGCACCATGCCACTCTTCTCCCAAGGGCCTCACCAAAGATGGCCGAGACCACCACAATGTCGTAGCACCGCTCCATGAACCGCCTGTCATCATCCGACACGTCAAAGCCCGTGCCGTTGCCCACCTTGCCGCCCCACACAAAGCTGATGCAGGGGGGTGGGATGGGAAGTGAGAGTGGGAAGGGGATGACTGGATGAACCACTGCATTTCAGTTCGAAATGTCAAGCCCTTGGCATTGCTCACCTTGCCGCCCCACACAACACCATCCGTTTCATTATTTTCCCCAGCACCTACCAGCCACCATCACCCGCCCCTTCCCCTTCCCCTTCCCGCGCCCCTTTCTCTCACTCACCCGCAATGCACACGCATGCTCTCTTCGATCTCAAACGAGTCTTCACCCGCCCCTGCTCCTTCCCCCACCAACGACCCTTTGACTCCCTCTCACTCACCCGCAGTGCACGTGCATGCTCTCCTGGATCTTAAACGAGTCCTCCCGTTGCTGCAGCGACTGGTGTCCGTTGAACCGCTGCCGGTTGCCCGCGCGCCTGGCGGCCCGCTCACTGGCGTCGTCCTGAGTGACGAGTTACTGTTGAGTTGACTCATCCTGCTCAATCCCAACCCTCCCTGTCCCTTCCCCATTCAACCCCCTACAGCACACACTCTACCCTATATCACTCACCCGCAGTGCACGCGCATGCTCTCTTGAATTTTAAACGAGTCCTCCCGCTGCTGCAGCGACTGGTGTCCGTTGAACCGCGGCCGGTTGCCCGCCCGCCTGGCAGCCCTCTCACTGGCGTCGTCCTCAGTGACGTACGCCAGGTGCTTCAGAATGGGCTCCTCCGTGTGGCCCCGTGGCGGGCGGATGCCCATGGCGCCTGGTAGCGGCAGGTAGCACACGGGGCAGGCTGGTTTGGAGAGGAGGGACGGGGGGAAGTGGCGAGGGGAGTGGGGGAGAGAGGAGCGCGGTTGAATTCTGAGGGGAGGTGGGGCGCGCATGGCTGGGTGTGTGCGTCTGGCGGCCCTCTCACTCACAGGCGTCGTCCTGGGTGACGTACGCCAGGTGCTTCAGAATGGGCTCCTCCGTGTGGCCCCGTGGCGGGCGCATGGCCATGGCGTCTGATAGTGGAAGGTAGCACACGGGGCAGGCTGGTTTGGGAGGAGAGAGAAAGGGGCAAAGGGAAGGGGGAGGAGGCAGATGTGTGGGTGCGGCAGGTGGTTCAGAGTCAGGTGGATCCTGAGGGGAGGTGGGGCGCTTTGTGTGCGACTGGCAGCCCTCTCACTGGCGTCGTCCTCAGTGACGTACGCCAGGTGCTTCAGAATGGGCTCCTCCGTGTGGCCCCGGGGGGGGGCGCATGCCCATGGCGTCTGGGAGCGGCAGGTAGCACACGGGGCAGGCTGATTCGGGAAAGGCCAGAGGGAAGAGGGGGGGGGGGGGAAGCAGGGAGGGGGGGAGGCAGGGAGGGAGGAGGCAGGCAGTGCGTGTGGTGTGGATGCGACAGGCCCGTCAGCTCCTGGCAGGTAACCCAGGGGGCACACTGCTTGGGAGAGGATGAGGAAAGGGGGAGCAGGAGGGAGCGGGAGCAGCGGACGCACGGGACAGGCTAAATGGTGCAGTGGGGAAGAAGAAGGCAATGTGGAGGGACGGTCGGGGCTGAGACTGGGCCGAGGGGAGTGAGGGGGGTGGAGAGGGAGTTTGTGGAGCTGAGAGCGGTTGAGGGGAATAGCTATTGTGAGAGACGAAGTGACGACAGAACATTGTACAGACCAAACCGAATGCACTCACGTGTCGGTCTAGTGGTTACCCTAGGCACTCACGTGTCGGTCTAGTGGTTACCCTAGGCACTCACGTGTCGGTCTAGTGGTTACCCTAGGCACTCACGTGTGGGTCTAGTGGTTACCCTAGGCACTCACGTGTGGGTCTAGTGGTTACCTGGGCACTCATGTGTGGGTCTAGTGGTTACCTGGGCACTCATGTGTGGGTCTAGTGGTTACCTGGGCACTCATGTGTGGGTCTAGTGGTTACCTGGGCACTCATGTGTGGGTCTAGTGGTTACCTGGGCACTCATGTGTGGGTCTAGTGGCTACCCTAGGTACTCACGTCTGGGCCCAGTGCGCTTCCTGTCAGTGGAAGGCGGTGGGAGGGTGAAATTGGCGCAAGGATGTGATGGGGGAAGCACGGGATCCAAAGGGTTGATCTGGGCAGGGGGAGGAGGCGGAGAGGGGGGCGGGGGAAGAGCAGGCGCGCGCACTCCCATCCCCCTTCTGCCCTTCTTCGGTCTCTTCTCTTTCTTCACCTTCTTCTCCTTCCGCCTCTTCTTCTTCCTCTTCTTCTCTCGTAGTTCATACACTCGAGCCTCAGTCTCGATCTCAACCCCTCCTTCCTTTGATGCATCCTGCCCCCCTAAAGCACCCTGCCCTTCTAAAGAATCCTGCCCCCTCGAAGCATCTTCGCCTCTCAACGCCTCCTGCCCCCCCAGCTCATTCTGCCTCCCCACGGCATTCTCTCCCCCCAAGGCATCAGGCGCAAACTCTTCGTCCCCTTCCCCGTCCCCTGCAGGCGGAGAATGGCCGAAACCGTTCTGAACCGAAGTGTGGAACGAAGGCCGCTGCTCGCTCTGACTCCCATCCGTCAACACACGTGACTGGTCGCTGGCAGATGGTAATCTTTCAATATCAGATTCCGAATTCGCCGTCCCCGTCCCAGTCAACGAATCCCCGCCGTCCGATTGTGCAGGTGGTGGGGAATCTACGGCCATCAGACGGCCTGCTTCATCCAGCACACCGACCCTCTTCGTGGCGTCCACTGTAACACGGCAGAACGAACGGAGAACGAACGGCAAACGAACGGAACGAAGAATGATAAGGAGAACGAACGGCGAACGAACAGGTGAACGAACAGGAGAACGAACAGGAGGATGGGTAATCGGGATGGGTAAGCAACAATCAGATAAGAACAAGCCAAACGGAGCGAGAATGAAAGCCACCCAGCTGATCAGCCACAATCTTCAGACGGGCAAAGCTTAATAGTACCTTGTGGTTGTTGCGGCTGGCTGGAGAATCTGAGATCCTTGACGACGAAAAGGGTGGAGATGCGTTTGAGAATTCTCGAAAGCAACTCCAACGATGCGAGATATTAGTACCTTGTGGTTGCTGCGGCTGGCTGGAGAATCTGAGATCCTTGACGACGAAAAGGGTGGAGATTGAGACGGCTTTTGAGGCGCCTCAAAAGACATGTCCCTGCGGGTTGGTGCCTGATAGTACCTTGTGGTTGTTGCGGCTGGCCGGAGAATCTGAGATCCTTGACGACGAAAATGGTGGAGATCGAGACGACCGCCAGGAACAGCACCATCATTGCTTTCCGCTTCCCTGGCAGGCTTCGTTTGTCGTTATTCATGGAGGACGACCTGGTGGGTGCGGGCGACGCGTTTGACGCGGAGAGACGCTGCGCCTTCAACGTCTTGTTGAGCGATCGCAGCGCGGTGAAGGAGGAAGATCGGTGAGCGACGATGTGCGACTCCTCCGGCGTCACAGGCGGCGATTCCATGGCCGGAAGGAGCAGTTACGCGGGGAAGGTCGAGCTAGAGAGTTCATGAAGCACACGCATGGTCAAGATACTAGAATCTTAAGGCCTGGGTTCTTGATGCCTGGAATCTTGAGGCTAGGATGCATGTCGAGGCATCGTTAGATCAAAGAAGCGATACGGACATCACGGAAGCACAGTGGTTAGAATCACTATGATGGCAACATCGCGGTAGTTGCTTTATGAAGCATCGTAGCCGTTGATGTGATGGATTAAAGATGCCAGCCTCCGCCAATGAGGATTTCTGCACGACTCGTTTCAAGCCAGATTCGGTCAGCGCTCTGCTGACTTTCTAGGTTTGAAACAAGCTAGGAACTAGAGAAAATAAACCCGGCGATCAAGGAGCTTCGGTGTTTGATCTTTCTCACGTCATGTGAGGATTCTAAGAACAGTCACTCGCCTCTCCCGACAAATGTCGCAGTTCCTCTGGATCTGAAATTGGAAACTTCAGACATCCGGCGAAACGTATACGAAGGACGAACGATCTATTCAACAGTAAGCAGCCGAACTGAAAAAAATGAGAGTTACGACGGCGAAGACATGACATTCAGTCTCTAGAATGGGAGGATAATAATAATTAGTAGTCAGCCATGGTTCAATTGCACATCCATCCAAGCGGAAGGTCCACTTTCGCCGAAAACCTGATTCAGCCGATTTATATTGATAATGAACCGCATTAGAAATTATGTTGCTTTGGACCTGTTCACTGTCTGGAACACTCCCAAGGGAAGTTCACTTCGCTGTCTGGAAGACCTGGCAGGTCCTACAAAAGGAAGTTCTTCTAAGAGAAGTGAGGAGAGGAGAAGAGATCCCCAGAATAGAAACAGAATATCGGGATTTGATTGGTGGAAGGTGAAGGGGGCGCGCACGAATGGAGCACACGATAAGTGATGTGACGCACGCGTCCAGCGGGTAACTCGGCCACAGCATGCGAGATTCACGACGGTGACGACACTTGCACGAAACACCTTCTGATAATATAGTTACATTTCCAAAAAAAAAAAAACGAAACACCTTCTGGGACGTCGTCAATGGCGCCACGGACGTGGACGATCGAGCGCAATCTTTGGGAACAGTGCTACGGCTTCGATGTGTTCTTGGCCGCACGATGCCGCACAGAGTCTTGACGTAAAAGAACGACACCCCATACTCGCTATGATCTGAGTCACATTTCAGGGTGGCATAATCATTTCTACAAAACAGTCAGGAAGAACCCGGCCTCAAAGCTACAGGCCTTCCTTCTTTGTCATATTCTATTGTTATAGGAGCACCATTCGAGTCCAGGCTTCTTCTCCCCCCCTAAATAAGACACAAATAAAAACGGCAGCGTTGAAGCAACAAGAAGAGATTGAGGGTAAATCAAACAGAGAAACAACCTTTTTGTATGTGAAAGCAATGATTGAAGCTTACATACCTCCAGAATTGCTGTAGTTAAGAGGCATGCCTGACTTCGTATTGTTGCAATCATCTCATTGGACTCCACATCTGCCACTGTCAGTTTCTTTGAATTGATGCACTGGGCTGCCGTAACAAAATCTGCAATGCTGCGGTAACCGTACCCCAACTGACCAGCAAATCTTCCTGTTGCATCCGGAGTGTACTGCGGATTTTGGAGATGCAATAAGAAAAAAGGGTATGGTCAATGAGGAGGATGTGAGTGTGGTTGTGCGTGCGACACAGCAAAACGATTGTGTGTATTTTACGTGAACAACATACAATTATGAGTGGTTATACCTTCATGTACAGTGGGTTGAGTGTAGCAAAGCCAGCTGCATCAGTTGACATGGTGAATCCTCTATGAGCTTGATCCACTCGAACTTCACCCTGCCACCATGCACACATACATCCATAATACATTATCCAAGCATACATGTGTACATGCATGCAGGGAAGTGCAGAATGGCAGTCACACATAAACAAGCATGCATCCATGTGGTGATGAGATCACCGCCATGGTATCGAGCAGTGCATATTCCGTACACGAGGGCTCACGCCATACCTGGTGGCCCATGTAGTGAAAGTACTGCTGTGTGTGGCAGTCAGAAGGAGGGGCAATCCAGCTTGCAGTGTACACTGCAGTGCCGCATGAACCGCCCTTGTTCTGCCACTGGACCTGCTTGTAACGAGTACAACAGATAGTGCAAGAGCCAGAGGTCAGTGCAAAGGCGTTCACCCACATGTGAAAAGGAACGGCTACAAACAATCGAATCTTAGCTAGAGACGGCAACAGAGCAGAAAGCAGGAATATTGAGCAGAAAGCCCAGAAACAAAAACTTAGCCCAGTAAGAGAAGCTCAGTCCGGCGACACACCATGAGGGTGATTGCACCCTCCACATAATAAAAGAAGTGTTTTGAGACGTCTCAAAACACATCCACCGCCCCAGCAGCACCTCCCCTTGCCCCCTCACGTTCCAACGCACAGCATAAACCCCAGGCACAGCCCACCGACACTCAGACACGGCCTAGACAGCAATGGTTGAAAGAAAGGCGTAGAGAAAAAGGCTAAGCCCAGCGACACACCATGAGGGTTATTGCATCCTCCACATCCTCCGCCCCAGCAGCATGTCCCTTTGCTCCCTAGCTTTCCACACGAGGGGAGGGGCTTGGGGGAGGGGCTTAGCCAAAAGGCTCACCATGAGGGTGATTGCATCCTCCACATCCACCGCCCCAGCAGCACCTCCCCGCGCTTCTTGCAGCACTTGGCTTGCCTTCCCCCTCGCTGCACTCGCCACCACCACCACTGGCCGCGATTGCCCCTGCACCGCCCACGCGTGGAAATCTGCGGGGGGGGGCGGAAAGGGTGGGAATCGAAACCCTGACTCTCCCCGCATGCATTCTGCAGCCCTTGGGTGGCCTTCCCCCTCGCTGCACTCGCCACCACCACCACTGGCCGCGACTGCCCCTGCACCGCCCACACGTGGAAATCTGTAAGGGAGGAGAAGGGGAGAGAGGACGAGCCGGGTGAAGGGTGAGAGGGTGAGAGGGTGAGAGGTAGAGAGGGGGAGAGGTGGGGAGGGGGAGTCCTCCTTCTCTCTCCCCTTGCATCGTGCAGCACTTGGCTGGCCTTCCCCCTCGCTGCACTCGCCACCACCACCACTGGCCGCGACTGCCCCTGCTGCACTGCCCACGAATGGAAATCTGAAGAGAAGAAGAAATAGAAGTGCGGAAAGTGTGTAGAATGCAGACGAATTGAGCAGTGGGCACTTGTTTTAAAAAAGCCACCTAATTTGAAGCGATGTACAGCACACGTCACAAAAGAGTGGCATGTGCAAGCTATACCCACCGATGTGGTGCGAGTTGAGGTAGAATGATATGTCTGAGCTCCTGCCAGATTGTGTTGCTTTTGAGAGTTTGTATTGCTTTTGAGAGTTTGTGTTGCTCAAAAGCGACTCAGATTGTGTGGTGTGTGAGCTTGCTTCACCCACCTATGTGGTGCGAGTTGAGGTAGAACGATATGTCTGAGCTCCTGCCAGCCCACCCTGCATAGCGTGGGAATGGGGAAATGGGACGGGGAAGAAGAGAAAGGGATGGCAGACAGAACTTGGAGGTAATTAATAAATCAAGGGCAGCTGCAAATGCAATGACATCTGTTTCTTTCTCAGTCGCGTTCTTTAGTGTCTCATGACGCACCTGCAAACGTGTGCAGCTGCATCTTAGGCTGAGTCATGGTGCTGGAGAGAAGAAGGCGAAGGGCCCTTCTATGGTGACTCAAAGGACACATTCACGTAGCTCAGGTGGGCATTGCGTGTGCAAATGCTACTCATCTGCAAACACAACGCACCTGCAAACGTGTGCAGCTGCTTCTTTGGCTGGGTCATGGTGCTTGAGAAGAAGGCAAAGGGACCCAGCCCCCTGATGCGGTCGTGTGCGTCTGACACAGGGGAACATGGAAACAATATGATTTTTTAGTCGACTCAAGAGATGGCTTTGGGGTCAAATCAAGAAAAGAGACGAAGGACAGCCTCCCATGGAACTGTACATGACCGGGTTAACCATTTTGGAAATGCGTTGCGAGGAGGCAGTTATTGGACAGCAATGCGTTTACCTGTGTAGATGGGGTCGAATCGCTTGTGAAACTCAACTGCCACCAACACACCCTTTTCTCTGCACCAGGAGACAAGGAAAGGGAAGGGAGGTGACAGAGAGGGGGAGGAACGGGCTACAGCCGATGGGCCAAGGCGCACGCGTGGACCAAGGCATGATGCTCACGGGTGCAAAGCATGAAGCTCAGTGGTGCAGCATGAAGCCCAAAGGGCTACAGCCGATGGACCAAGGCGCGCGCGCGTGGACCAAGGCGCGCGCGCGGACCAAGGCGCGCGCGCGTGGACCAAGGCGCGCGCGTGGACCAAGGCGCGCGCGCGTGGACCAAGGCGCGCGCGTGTGGACCAAGGCGCGCGCGTGGACCAAGGCGCGCGCGTGGACCAAGGCGCGCGCGTGGACCAAGGCGCGCGCGTGGACCAAGGCGCGCGCGTGTGGACCAAGGCGCGCGCGTGGACCAAGGCGTGCGCGTGGACCAAGGCGCGCGCGCGTGGACCAAGGCGCGCGCGCGTGGACCAAGGCGCGCGCGCGTGGACCAAGGCGCGCGCGTGGACCAAGGCGCGCGCGCGGACCAAGGCGTGCGCGCGTGGACCAAGGCGCGCGCGTGGACCAAGGCGCGCGCGTGGACCAAGGCGCGCGCGTGGACCAAGGCGCGCGTGTGGACCAAAGGCGCGCGCGTGGACCAAGGCGCGCGCGTGGACCAAGGCGCGCGCGTGGACCAAGGCGCGCGCGTGGGCCAAGGCGCGCGCGTGGGCCAAGGCGCGCGCGTGGACCAAGGCGCGCGCGCGTGGACCAAGGCGCGCGCGCGTGGACCAAGGCGCGCGCGCGTGGACCAAGGCGCGCGCGTGGAGCAAGGCGCGCGCGTGGACCAAGGCGCGCGCGTGGACCAAGGCGCCCGCGTGGACCAAGGCGCGCGCTTGGACCAAGGCGCGCGCGTGGACCAAGGCGCGCGCGTGGACCAAGGCGCGCGCGTGGACCAAGGCGCGCGCGTGGACCAAAACGCGCGCGTGTGGTCCAAGGCGCGCGCGTGGACCAAGGCGCGCGCGTGGACCCAGGCGCGCGCGCGGACCAAGGCGTGCGTGTGGACCAAGGTGTGCGCGTGTGGAGCCAGGCGCACGCGTGGACCAAGGCGCGCGCGTGGACCAAGGCGCGCGCGTGGACCAAGGCGCACGCGTGGACCAAGGCGCGCGCGTGGACCAAGGCGCGCGCGTGGACCAAGGCGCGCGCGCGTGGACCAAGGCGCGCGCGTGTGGACCAAGGCGCGCGCGTGGACCAAGGCGCGCGCGTGGACCAAGGCGCGCGCGTGTGGACCAAGGCGCGCGCGTGTGGACCAAGGCGCGCGCGTGGACCAAGGCGCGCGCATGGACCAAGGCGCGCTCGTGGACCAAGGCGCGCTCGTGGACCAAGGCGCGCGCTTGGACCAAGGCGCGCGCGTGGACCAAGGCGCGAGCGTGGACCAAGGCGCGCGCGTGGACCAAGGCGCGCGCGTGGACCAAGGCGCGCGCGTGGACCATGGCGCGCGCGTGGACCAAGGCGCGCGCGTGTGGACCAAGGCGCGCGCGCGTGGACCAAGGCGCGCGCGTGGACCAAGGCGCGCGCGTGGACCAAGGCGCGCGCGTGAACCAAGGCGCGCGCGTGGACCAAGGCGCGCGCGTGGACCAAGGCGCGCGCGTGGACCAAGGCGCGCGCGTGGACCAAGGCGCGCGCGTGGACCAAGGCGCGCGCGCGTGGACCAAGGCGCGCGCGCGGACCAAGGCGCGCGCGCGGACCAAGGCGCGCGCGTGGACCAAGGCGCGCGCGTGGACCAAGGCGCGCGCGTGGACCAAGGCGCGCGCTTGGACCAAGGCGCGCGCGTGGACCAAGGCGCGCGTGTGTGGACCAAGGCGCGCGCGTGTGGACCAAGGCGCGCGCGTGGACCAAGGCGCGCGCGTGTGGACCAAGGCGCGCGCGTGGACCAAGACGAGCGTGTGGACCAAGGCGCGAGCGTGGACCAAGGCGCGAGCGTGGACCAAGGCGCGCGCGTGTGGACCAAGGCGCGCGCGCGTGGACCAAGGCGCGCGCGTGGACCAAGGCGCGCGCGTGGACCAAGGCGCGCGCGTGGACCAAGGCGCGCGCGTGGACCAAGGCGCGCGCGTGGAACAAGGCGCGCGCGTGGACCAAGGCGCACGCGTGGACCAAGGCGCGCGCGCGTGGACCAAGGCGCGCGCGCGGACCAAGGCGCGCGCGCGGACCAAGACGCGCGCGCGGACCAAGGCGCGCGCGCGTGGACCAAGGCGCGCGCGCGGACCAAGGCGCGCGCGTGGACCAAGGCGCGCGCGTGGACCAAGGCGCGCGCGTGGACCAAGGCGCGCGCGTGGACCAAGGCGCGCGCGTGGACCAAGGCGCGCGCGTGGACCAAGGCGCGCACGTGGACCAAGGCGCGCGCGCGTGGACCAAGGCGCGCGCGTGGACCAAGGCGCGCGCGTGGACCAAGGCGCGCGCGTGGACCAAGGCGCGCGCGTGGACCAAGGCGTGCGCGTGGACCAAGGCGCAGAGCATGTCAAAAAGCGTATGGAAGGTATGGCAAAAAAGGATTGGAACTGTAAGAGAAACTGTGGAGACCTGATGGCACAGGAAGCAAAAATAGAGCACCTATTCTTTAGTCGACTGAAAAATAGACTCGTCACACGCGAAACATATGGCCAAAAAGGAATGGAACTGCAAGAAGAAGTGTAGAGACTCGATGGCACAGGGAGCTTGACAAAGGCCGCTTACTGGGACAACAGGCCTCTTACGACTAGGAGCTGTTTGGCTGTTGCACGAGGTGGTTATGAAGCTGTTGAGTTGACTATAACGAAGGCGACTTTTGAGTCAGCTCAGAATAGAGGTGATTTTATATTGAATAAACAGCTGATTAAGGAAGCTTACTCTGCTGCTTGCACGAGGTGGTGGTGGTGGTGGAGGGTCTTCACTGCAGGCTTCGCTATAAGCACATGGAGGCCTGCAGGTCAGAGAGGGATGGCAGGGAGAGTACAATGGTGCGGGTGACACAAACAACAGCAATGGGAAAGGGAAGGGGTTTTGAAGCTACCGTGTTGGCACTATCCAAATCTGGCAGTGAAGCCTGTTCGCCCTTGTGAGATTGACCATTCACCGTGTTGGATGGCAGCGAGGGCGATGGGGTGGTGCGTGTTGTCTGGAGTGAAGATAGTAACCCCCCCACAACACATGCGGTAGTGAGGTAGTGGGTGAGTTCACCCTTGTGAGAGCTACTACCCACCGTGTTGGATGGCAGCGAGGGCGATGGGGTGGTGCGTGTTGTCTGGAGTGAAGATGGTGACCATGTCTCCCGGCTCACTGTCTCTGGCTCCCAGCTGACATGCATGCACCCAGCTAACACACGTGGCAGTCTTGAGTGAGGTGAGTTCATCCTTGTGCGAGCTACTACTCACCGTGTTGAATGGCAGCGAGGGCGATGGGGTAGTGCGTGTTGTCGGGGGTGAAGATGGTGACCATGTCTCCCGGCTGCATGCGCGCCATGGCTGCCAGGTACGCTGCATTGTCCTCTTGCACATCGTCTGACACATACACATGCACACACATGTGTATACACACAGGGAAGCACACAGACGCACAAGGCTGTTAGATATGCTGCCTCGTCCTCCTGTACATCGCCTGACACATGCACATGCATGCGCACACATGTATACACCTGCACATGCAGATACACATGAATGCATACATGCACATGCACATACACATGTATGTATAGATGTACAGGCATGGTCACACACGCAGATGAATGCGTACACACAAGAGTGCACATACACACACACAAACACACACATGGATACCCGCACACATTTCACACACACACACACATGCACACAGCCTCACACACACACACACACACAGATGCACACACATATGTACACACGATAACAAAACCTGCATGACCGAACCTTCGCATGCACCCCTCGCATGCAACCCTCGCATGCACCCCTCGCATGCAACCCTCGCGTGCACCCCTCGCCTGCAACCCTTGCATGCACCCCTCGCGTGCACCCCTCTCGTGCACCCCTCGCATGCAACCCTCGCATGCACCCCTCGCATGCAACCCTCGCGTGCACCCCTCGCCTGCAACCTTTGTATGCACCCCTCGCGTGCACCCCTCGCGTGCACCCCTCGCATGCAACCCTCGCATGCACCCCTCGCATGCACCCCTCGCGTGCACCCCTCGCGTGCACCCCTCCCGTGCACCCCTCGCGTGCACCCCTCGCATGCACCCCTCGCATGCACCCCTCGCATGCACCCCTCGCGTGCAGCCCTCGCATGCACCCCTCGCATGCAACCCTCGCATGCACCCCTCGCATGCAACCCTCGCATGCACCCCTCGCATGCACCCTCGCATGCGCCCCTCGCGTGCACCCCTCGCGTGCACCCCTCGCGTGCAACCCTCGCGTGCACCCCTCGCGTGCACCCCTCGCGTGCACCCCTCGCATGCACCCTTCGCATGCACCCCTCGCATGCGCCCTCGCATGCACCCTCGCCTGCAACCCTTGCATGCAACCCTCGCGTGCACCCCACGCGTGCACCCCTCGCATGCAACCCTCGCATGCAACCCTCGCATGCACCCCTCGCCTGCAACCCTTGCATGCACCCCTCGCGTGCACCCCTCGCGTGCACCCCTCGCATGCAACCCTCGCATGCACCCTTCGCATGCACCCCTCGCATGCGCCCTCGCATGCACCCTCGCCTGCAACCCTTGCATGCACCCCTCGCGTGCACCCCTCGCGTGCACCCCTCGCATGCAACCCTCGCATGCAACCCTCGCATGCACCCCTCGCCTGCAACCCTGGCATGCACCCCTCGCGTGCACCCCTCGCATGCACCCCTCGCGTGCACCCCTCGCGTGCACCCCTCTCGTGCACCCCTCGCGTGCACCCCTCGCGTGCACCCCTCGCATGCACCCCTCGCATGCACCCCTCGCATGCACCCCTCGCGTGCACCCCTCGCGTGCACCCCTCGCATGCACCCCTCGCGTGCACCCCTCGCGTGCACCCCTCGCATGCACCCTCGCATGCACCCCTCGCGGGCAACCCTCGCATGCACCCCTCGCATGCAACCCTCGCATGCACCCCTCGCGTGCAACCCTCGCATGCACCCCTCGCGTGCAACCCTCGCATGCACCCCTCGCGTGCACCCCTCTCGTGCACCCCTCGCATGCACCCCTCGCATGCAACCCTCGCATGCACCCCTCGCGTGCACCCCTCGCGTGCACCCCTCGCATGCACCCCTCGCATGCGCAACCCTCGCATGCACCCCTCGCGTGCACCCTCGCATGCACCCCTCGCGTGCACCCCTCGCGTGCACCCCTCGCGTGCACCCCTCACATGCACCCCTCGCATGCAACCCTCTCGTGCACCCCTCGCGTGCAACCCTCGCATGCAACCCTCGCATGCAACCCTCGCATGCAACCCTCGCATGCAACCCTCGCGTGCACCCCTCGCGTGCACCCCTCGCAAGCAACCCTCGCATGCACCCCTCGCATGCACCCCTCGCGTGCACTTCTCGCGTGCACCGCTCGCATGCAACCCTCGCGTGCACCCCTCGCGTGCACCCCTCGCGTGCACTTCTCGCGTGCAACCCTCTCGTGCACCCCTCGCGTGCACCCCTCGCATGCACCCCTCGCATGCAACCCTCTCGTGCACCCCTCGCGTGCACCCCTCGCATGCAACCCTCGCATGCAACCCTCGCATGCAACCCTCGCGTGCACCCCTCGCATGCACCCCTCGCAAGCAACCCTCGCATGCACCCCTCGCATGCACCCCTCGCGTGCACTTCTCGCGTGCACCCCTCGCATGCAACCCTCGCATGCACCCCTCGCATGCACCCCTCGCTTGCAACCCTCGCATGCACCCCTCGCGTGCACTTCTCGCGTGCACCCCTCGCATGCAACCCTCGCATGCACCCTCGCATGCGCCCCTCGCGTGCACCCCTCGCATGCACCTCTCGCATGCACCCCTGGCATGCACCCCTCGCGTGCACCACTCGCGTGCACCCCTCGCGTGCACCCCTCGCGTGCATCCCTCGCGTGCACCCCTCGCGTGCACCCCTCGCGTGCACCCCTCGCGTGCACCCCTCGCGTGCACCCCTCGCGTGCTCCCCTCGCGTGCCCCCCTCGCGTGCACCCCTCGCGTGCACCCCTCGCGTGCTACGTTGCCAAATACGCTCTGGGTAGGGTGGCGTACCATGTATATACGATTGCGTACGTACGTGGTACGCTAATACGCTTCGAATTCGTGAGAAAACGCGCGGGCAGCCCGGCGAAAAAAAAAATCGAAATTGAAAAAAAATTGCGACGGTTATTAGGGCTTCGCGACTGGTTACGCGACCAAACACATCGCCCAACCCACGTCTGAAATTCAAATTTCAGAATCCAAACCTCCCACCACCCCAACCACACACCACCCCACCAAACATCTCATATCCAACCACCCCTCTCAAATGTCCAGCACGTCATGTGAGCATTTACTCGTTGACGCCTTCCTATCCTTCATTCGTTTCTCTCCTCCTCAATTTCATTCCCGAGCTCTGATCTCCCGTTTTCCTCAAGCAGTTTACCGTTCCTTAGTCGCACCTCATGGCGTCGAACTCCACCCCTCCTAGCGCGACGAGCAATGTAGCTTCTGTTCACGCGTCTAGTAGTGCGATCAACACGCAGCCTGTTGAGGCTGGCCTTTCGAACCCCATTCTGAAACATTTTCTTATTCCCCCCCACACCAAAGGCAATCCCAAGCTTTGTAAGTTTTGTGGCTTCAAGTTTGAGGGCGGAACCACTCGCTGCGCAGTTCACCTCGCCAAATGGAAAGGGCAAGATGGACGCCCTGTCAGGCTTTGCAAGGACGTGTCCCCGAAAGTCCGTGAAGAAGTGCGTGCCATGTACGAAAACAAGGAGGAAAACAAGAGCATGAAACGAGGGGCGGCTGCTGCAGCACTCGACTCCGTGCTGGGCGCGGTCACTGCTTGTGCGGAGAAGAAGGGGAAGATAACAGAATTCTTCGGCGACGAGGCAACGTGCGCCAAGGAGGACGCGGATAACGCGCTTTGCCTAATGATCTCGGCGCTGAAGCTTACAGAGCGCATCGTGGATGATCCGGTCTTCCGCTACGCGGTCCAGTGCTTTGCGCGCGTGGGACCGGGGTATGTTCCCCCCAAGAGGGGCTACGTTGGAGGGGTGGGCTTGAAGAAAGTGCGGCAGAAAATGGAGGCAGCGCTCGCCCCCGTTGCCGCGAGCTGGAAGCGGGACGGTGTCACCGTGTCGTCGGACATGATGACCGACCGTTGTGGCCGCCCGCAGGCCAACATACTCCTTGTCAACGACTCCGGCGCAGTTTTCGAGCAGGCCATGGACTGCAACATGGAGTCGAAGACGGGGGGGTACATCGCCAGCCTTCTCCGCCCCGTCATTGATAAGGTGGGGCCGGAGAATGTGGTGGCGGTCTGCACCGATGGCGGCAGCAACTATGCATCGGCAGCGCGGAAGATTGCGGGCACATGGCCGCACATTGAGCATGTGCCATGTGCCACGCATGTCCTGGACCTGTTAATGGAAGATGTGGGCAAAATGGGATGGGCGAAGGGGCTTGTGGAGAAAGGAGGGGAGATGATTACCTTCGTGCGCAACCACCACTTCACCCGTGCCTATATGAAGAAAGTGGGGGGGAAGCAGGTGCTCAAGCCGGCAGGAACCAGGTTCGGGACACAATACATAGCCATGGCCCGGCTATGTGAGGTGAGGAGTGGGCTGGCGGCGATGGTGCTCAGCGACGAGTGGAAGGTGTGGGCAGCGGGGGACAAGGATAGGAAGACTGCAGCCGAGAAATTCAGGGCTGCTGTGATGGATGAGGAGTGGTGGGGGGTGGCGGAGTTCTTTTCCTCTCTCATGGCGGTGCCATTCAAGGCCATGCGGGCCACGGACTCTTCCGCGAAAGGCATGATGGGTAAGCTGTATGACATTATGCTACAGCTTACCGAGGACATCAATGACAAGCTCGACGCTTCAGGCGACTTCTTGACTCGGACAGAGAGGGCAGACATCACCAAGATTGTGAAGGACAGGTGGGACAACTCCCTTGCCTGCCCCATGCATGTGGTTGGCCGGATCCTGAATCCGGCCAACCAGGAGGAGGGAATTTTCAGGAACGATGTGGAGTGCACGAGGGTGTTCAAGGACTACATCGAGCGCCACTATGACCACGTCACCTTCAGGCGCGGCAAGATGGTGCCCCTCGCCGCGCCTCCCTTGTGCTGCAGGAGGCATTGCTGGCCTACATCAACTTGGAGGGCAGTTTTGGCAAGCCGAGCGCCATAGCTGCAAGGGAGGCAGTGAAGAAAGGGGAGATGAGCATGGTGCAGTGGTGGTCGTGGCACAGCACCGAGTACCCTGAGCTTGCCACCCTCGCATGCCGGATTCTCACTCAGCCCGTCTCGGCTTCTTCATGCGAACGTGGCTGGGCGCAGTGGGAAGGCGTCCACACTGCCCGCCGCAACCGCCTCGGGTCCGCCAAGTGTGCGGACCTGGTTTACATTGCGCACAACTGGAACGTTGTGCGCAATTGGTACAACAAGGATGGGGCCAGCACGGTTGTGCCCGGGAACATCCCGGATGCCCCTATCCCCCGCGGCTACAACATGGACGAGGAGGAGGAGGATGACCTGCTGGGGGGGGAAGGAGATGATGCAGTGCTGGCGGATGAGTATGGGGAAGGGGTGGTGGTGGAAAAGCCCCGCAAGGAAATAGGCTGTGGGGAAGCTCGCTAGAGGGTGGGGATTATGTGGATGAACTATGTATTTCTGGATATTTATGAACTAAAATATTGACATGTGTTGTTGTCGGCCTGAACCCCCCCCCTGAAACAGGTTTTTTTATACCTGCCCGGGAAAAAAAGTTTTAGCTGCCCGCCAGCGTATTTTTGCGTATCAGCAGTACGCCAGCCTTGGCGTACCGCGTATATACCAAGCGTATAATACGCTAACGTATTATACTCGGTACTCGTATTTAGCAACGTAGCTCGCGTGCACCCCTCGCGTGCACCCCTCGCGTGCACCCCTCGCATGCACCCCTCGCATGCACCCATCGCATGCACCCATCGCGTGCACCCCTCGCGTGCTCCCCTCGCGTGCACCCCTCGCGTGCACCCCTCGCGTGCACCCCTCGCATGCACCCCTCGCATGCACCCATCGCATGCACCCATCGCGTGCACCCCTCGCGTGCTCCCCTCGCGTGCACCCCTCGCGTGCACCCCTCGCGTGCACCCCTCGCATGCACCCCTCGCATGCACCCGCTTCAGCATCTCTCTGATGGCGGGGCAGGGAAGATCTGATGGCGGGGCAGGGAAATCTGCTCTTGGGGCGCCCCAAGAAACATACCTGGAGGGTAGGTCTCTAGCTCTTATGTCTCGATACACGTCTGCAATCTTCCCCTTCAACGTCCCCCTGATGGCTGGATGGCTGGAAAGGTCCGATGGCAGGGACATTCATCTTGAGGCGCCTCAAAATCCATACCTGGAGGGTGAGTCTTGAAAGCCATACACGTCTGCAACCTTCCGCTTCAGCGTCTCTCTGATCGCTGGAAACTTGGAAAGGTCTGACGGCAGAGAAATATAATCATGGGGAGCCTCAAGAACCATACCTGGAGGGTATGTCTCGAGAGTGACGTCCATGTCTCGATACACGTCTGCAATCTTCCTTTTCAGCGTGTCTCTGATAGCGGGGAAGTGTCGCCCGGACCGATCACACAGCAGCAGTCGCTGCACCTTGCCCAGACGGCGAAGGTCCATCAATGTGATGGCAATGACACTGCACAGATGATTGGTTGAGGGGGGGGAGGGTGAGTGTCGGGTGGTGCGGATGACCAATGAGAAATCATTCACAAGTCACACATCACCAGCAGCTGCACCTCTCCCAGCCGGCGCAGGTCCATCAATGTGATGGCGATGACACTGCACAGGTGATTTGATTGGGTGCGTTGGGGTGGTGTTGGGATGACATGACAGATGGCCAGTTACTAGCAATTCACACAGCAGCAGCTGCTGCACCTTCCCCAGATGCCGGAGGTCCATCAGTGTGATGGCGATGACACTGCATGGGTGAGTTGATTTGGTGTGAGGGGTTGGTGTGGGTGACCGAGGGGGAGTCATTCGCACAGCAGCACGTGCTGCGCCATTGGTAGGCGCTGTTGTTTAGGAGCCTTGCAACATGAATCCTCGTCATACCAGAGCAGTTGTTGAAGTCCCATGCCTTCCAATTCGCCACCACAACTTCATCTCAGCGCCATGCCTTCACGTCACCCCCACCTCATCCCCACACCCTCGCCTCAGATCCCTCCCCCCCCCCCCCCCCACACTGCTAGCGCAGCCCTTTCCAGCACATACCCTGCAGACTTGTCGCTGGCAGCTCCCTCCTTGGTCGATACAAACCCGCAGCTTTTGAATCGACAGTCACCCTCACCTCACCACACCCCCTTACTACCATCATGGCCCTTCCCAGCACATACCCTGCAGACTTGTCGCTCGCAGCTCCCTCCTTGGTCGGTACAAACCCTGACGAGAGATGCAACCAATAGCAGAAAAGGAAGTCAGATACGACCTGGTCGGCGAAAAACGGCAGAAACTTAATGTCATTGTACTTTTCGTTTCTTACTCACCTACGGTGTATTCGCCAGCGCCTACCATAAGCACGCTGATTGGCTGCTCCATTCCGTCCGAATTCTTGGAATCAGCTACGAAAAATTCAGTACTGCAAGATTCCCCCCTACAAGAAGTAAATGTCGACGGGTCGCGACGCGACCACAGGACGTCAAATTTCTTCTATGCATGTACGGTTAGTACCATATGGGATTCCGCGTCATGCGCTTATGCCTTGATGATCACAGGAGTTATCCCGCATTTGATCCACGCTCAAATCAGACCAGATTCGTGGTACGTTACATACCAGAGCGTGATTGTTTGCTTGGTATGTGACGCTGATTGATGCGCATTCGACCCACATTTGATGCGCTGATTGTGGCTCGCCGTTTACGGATTGTTGGTGGATTGGGATGGGATGTCAACATAGGAGGACATTCAATTCTAATTGCTGGTGCATCCAGCTCTCCAAAGAATCATGTACACTGAGGAAGCCTCCATCATCCAGCTCCCTTCCATGATTTTTTCCTGGCACATGAGTTGAGTCGTCTTGAGATTCACCTGCCAACAAGTGATTGTATCAGTTTCATTTCTGATTTCACATTAATGCCAACATGCATCACTACCCTACACGTCTCTCGGCTCTAATGAGCCTTGGTCTTTCCCTTGACTTTCCCTCTTCTTCCTTCTCTCCCTCCATGAACAACCCCCCCTTCATGCTTCTTCCCATCTTTCGGCTCCCCTTGCATTTCCACTTTCTTCTTGGCCTTCCCAACTGGAATCCAAGCCAGGGAGCAGAAGAATGCGAGGAGAAAGAGCACTGAAAACCTGACCTCGATTCCATCCCAGGACGATCGCATTGCATAGAACGCCAACACCGACAATCCCACGGTTCCCCCAGCAGAAGGACCTAAAAGAGCCATGAACCCGCCAGCAACCACCAGGAAGCTTCCGCCGATCATATCAATGTCCTGGTCCTTGAAATCCTCCCAGGATGTGGGGAAGGAGTGCGCATATGGATCCTTTGAGATGACCGGATCCAACGGCTGTAAAATGCTGTTCCATTCTGGTAACTTGAAAGGCTCTCCGGCGAAGGTTTTCTGGAGACGTTGGGCAAGAATTCCCGGGTAGAGCAGGCAGCGGAGCAGCGTGGAAGGCGCTCGACCGTAGGCGTGAAGCTCCGTGACGACTATGTCAAGCGGGGACTTGCAGCGGATTCCGGAGCATGGCAGGCTGCGAGAAGTGATCAGATTGGGAGAAATTCATAATAAGTCTTCATGGCGGAGAGAGATTCAAGCGAATTTGAGAGAACTTGCTGGAAGTTTGCCAACTCAACTCGAAAAACGGCGCTCGAAGGAGAATCAGGAGGAAGAACATATGGCTGAGCCGCGTTTGCCATGACCACGCAGCAGGTTTCCGCTGGTCCATTTTGAACGCAAGTGAGAGATTCAAAACGAGATAAGAAAAGCATCTCTAGGCGAAATCCTCCAGAACCGGACAGCTGTGGGAGACTACGAAGGTTGATTTGACAAGCACCCGTCTCGCGCCTCACCTCCAGCTGTTGGGATATAACCCTACAAGATACGCTTACGAGATGTATCTTCGCGATCCACACTATGATACGGTGAGGTTGCTTATATCGGAAACGAATCCAAATGTTGTAGCCACGAGAAGATTGCATCACGCCAATAAACATCCACCAGCTGGTCATCTGCCTTCACACGCGGAAAGCACCCAGAGATGCCATATCACCGGCCTTTGCTGACTCAGCTCAACCGTGCGTGGCGAAAAGACGGAAATGCTGACCTCGATCTTGGCTGCTCCATCAATCACCGCTCAATGTCACGCGCCCTCCTGTCACCCGTCCGTGCGATCGCGCAACCAACTCGCACCACGCGCGAACCGCCAGCCCGATACGTCAGACACCCACCAAAGGCGGAGATTCGACTGCCAGCATCGCCCCCACCCCCTCCGCAGACTCTCCCCTCTTTCCCCCAAACGCTCGATCCGCCAGCGCCGTGACTGGAACTCCGTCTGGCGGGACAATCTTCCAGCTGTACAACGATTGGCCATCCTAAGATTTCCACGTCACATCTCTGGGGAACATCAGATCAGAGATCAGTGTCTCTTCCCTCGTGGGATCACCCCCCTCGCAGCGTAAACCCGTCTCGTTCCCCCTCCACCTTTCCTCCCCCCCACTTTCCCCTCTAGCGTCTCTGCTCCCCCTGATTTTTGGAAAGAAATTTGCCTCCACTCCCTGATCAGCTGATTGAGTGAAGTAGCATTGAGTTGCTTTAGCTCTATCTTATTTCCAGCCTGGTTTGACCAGATCAGGAAGATTGAGCCTCTAAGTTTTGTGCGCCTAAGATCGAAAAAAGCCGTGTGATATCGCACGTAGCAGCTATGGCTTCCACAACGGCCTGCGTGTCCAGGGTGAATGTGTTCAACCCATTGATTCAGGGAAACACCCTCAGGTCAAGATGTACAAGCACTGGTGCGTTTTGGCACAATGTCATCCAACGCATTGCTTTTTAAAGTGGTCGCTTCACTGCTCGCTGCCTGACTCTTTACTACAACAGCCTTTATTACTCTCTAAACTCGTTTGTATCCTCGCCCTTAAAACCTCGTGTGCTTCTCTCGCGCTATTGCAGTGCGCCTGGCTGCTCCGGCTTTTAGGCCGGCTCTCCGAGCTGCTCCCGTAGCTCCTCGTTGCAGCTTCGAGGACTCGTCTTCTTCGGCAACCTCCAAGCTCGTTAAACGGACCACCTCTTCCATGTAACTACTTACACTTAGCGCTTAACGGTGCTCACGTGATTTCACGCGCTTGATTGAACAGGTCCCAAAACCTTGGCTCGAACAATCGCACTCTTACTTCAACGATCATATTTCTGACTGAAAGAAAGAACGCAGTATGAACAAGACTACGATTGTATCGCTCTCAAACGGCACCTTGTTATTTTGTCCGTCCCTGCAGTGTTGCTCAAGCTGCTGAGGGTGCTGCCGCCCCTGCACCTGCCGAGGGCCCAGAGGGCCTTAAGAAGATCATTGAGACCCTCACCACCCTCTTCCCACTCTGGGTAACCAGCCACCTTTCTCGTTGTGTGTGTGTGTTTTTTTTTCTTCTTCCTGTTTTCATTCTGGTATCCTGTCTAACAATTACGTTCTCATCTCGCTTCACTGTCGCTGCCCATTTTCTCTATCCAGGTCATTCTTGGAACCGTCATCGGTCTCGTTAAGCCTTCAGCTGTAAGCCTTTCACCCTAAGGCACCCCTCTGACCCTTTTCCACTTTTCCAGGTTAAGCATTTTTCAGGATCAACTTTGTTTTCAGTAGCATTCATGTGCTTGTTTCTTTCTGCTTTCAGGTGACATGGCTCTCAACCGACCTCTTCACATACGCTCTCGGTTTCCTCATGCTCTCCATGGGCCTCACCCTCACCTTTGAGGACTTCCGCCGCTGCCTCCGCAACCCCTGGACGGTAAACATTTGATCGGGAATAATCACTGCATGAATTCGTCCGTGTCTAAACGTGCGATGATACATGCACCGAACGCTACTCTGAGTTCCACAACGTTCCTCCTCTTTTGTTCAATCTTTCCGCAGGTCGGAGTCGGTTTTATCGCGCAGTACTGCATTAAGCCCATTCTTGGCTATGCCATTGCTCTGGTAAGGAACTGAATCACAAAGTAAGCTAAACACTATCACATTGACTCATCAACCTGTAGTGGGAATGCCAATCCTTTTCAACCTTTTTATGCCCTCCTATTTCACTTCGATTTTCTTCATTCCAACTCGTCCCATGTCATTCTAATGCGTTCCACTCGGTTTCGCTTCTGTCAATATTGGTTGTGTTTCCAGGCGCTGAAGCTCCCCGCCCCTCTGGCCACCGGGCTCATCCTCGTGTCGTGCTGCCCCGGCGGTCAGGCGTCCAATGTCGCCACCTATATCTCTCGCGGCAACGTCGCCCTCTCCGTGCTCATGACCACGTCAGTCTCCCCCTAACCCCCGAATCCTGCTTCTTTTCCTGTCCCGTTGTCTAAAGAACACAGTCTATCGAAACTCTCTCCCACATGCATCCAACCTCGAGGATTCAGATTAGGCGTGTAACGTCGCGTTTTCTTCTTTCTCCTTTCGGTCTGCCTCCATAACAGTGCGTCCACCATCGGCGCCATCTTCATGACGCCCTTCCTCACCAAGGTTCTTGCCGGCCAGCTGGTGCCCGTCGACGCCAAGGTACGCGTGATCTTTCATTTCCACACCATCAAGGTTTTATTTTTCCCTCGTCAGTCGCATCTGCGTGCCCCTTTTAAGGCCGACAGAGCGTACTCAACATTATGCTATGCTTTGCTTTCCTGCAGGGTCTGGCCCTCAGCACTTTCCAGGTCGTGCTTGTGCCCACCATTTGTGGAGGTGAGAAACCTTTATCCCACCTACACCTGTGCATTGAAAGCAGTATTGTAAGCGGTTGCTTCTCGGAGCGGTTGTTCCATCGAGTAGCCTGCTGACTGATAATATTCTTTCGTGCATCTTCTTCCCATGATGCAGTTCTCGCTAACGAGTTCTTCAACGACATCACCAAGAAGATCACCTTCTTCACGCCACTTGTTGGTGTCGTTCTCACCACCCTGCTCTGCGCCTCCCCGGTACTCATCCATTGCACTCTTTTTCGTTCCTCCTCTTCCGACTTGTTGGTCCTTGTCGAATCTTTTCGAGTGGAAAAATATCACTGTTACCCCTGCTTTTAGACTAGTCGCCCCTCGCCGTTTTCCTCCCTCGCCCTTACCTCTTTCTGCACCCTGACTTCACCTCCTCACCCTTGGCACCACCCCCCCCACCCTTGCATCACCCCCTCACCTTGCCTCACATCCCACCCTCGCATCACCCCTCTCCTTGCCTCACACACCGCCCGTGCATCACCCATCTCCTTGCCTACCCTCGCATCAATCCTCTCCTTGCATCACACCCACCCTTGCATCCCCCCGTTTTCCACTTCCTACCGCAACAGATTGGTCAGGTGGCGGAGGTGCTCAAGGCCCAGGGCGCGCAGCTCATCCTCCCCGTCGCAGCTCTGCACGCCTTCGCCTTTGCTCTCGGCTACTTCCTCTCGAAAATCTTTAACTTCAGCGAGTCCACCTCCCGCACCATCTCCATTGAGTGTGGCATGCAGGTGAGACTCGCATGTTGGTAGGGTTACAGCTGGCATGCACATGAACGTGCCATGCATGTACTACAAACAGCCCTACAGATAAGCATGAAGCATGCTCACACTGACAATCTTCAATCATACAGGCGTCTTCAGAATGAACACATGCCAATGACATTTTTCCTCCCTTTCTTTCCCCCCTGTGTCTCCGGTTTCCTTTCGTGGTTGGCTTCAGAGCTCGGCCCTTGGGTTCCTTCTAGCCCAAAAGCACTTCTCCAACCCACTGGTCGCTGTGCCATCTGCTGTCAGCGTTGTCTTCATGGCTGTACGTTTTCGGACATTCATTGTGGGACCCCGGATGTTAGGGAGCTTTTGGGAGTTTACTACTGGCTTGTGTTTGCTTGTTTGTCATGTGTGGTTTTTTACTGTTGTGGTATCCGATGCCTTTGTTGATATGCTGCCTTTTGTGTCTGCAGCTGGGAGGAAGTGCTCTCGCCGTCTTCTGGCGGAACAACCCACTTCCCAAGGATGACAAGGATGATTTCAAGGAGTAGACGTGATGCAATGGAACCTGTGGGGCTACAGCCCCTTTTTTCAGTATCATAATGTAGACGGTGTCTCGCTTTTGAGTTATGTGCTCGACTGCTTTAGGTTTGGCTTCATATATATGTAACCAATCTGCTGGGTTCTAATATAATGAAAAGTTACCATGAGATGCATGTGTACAATAGTACTGTACTGACCCAGTGTTGCGCCCAACAAAGCGTGCATTCTTGTCCCAAACAATTCGCCTCCCAGATTCCTATCCTGATTGAGCCTGAGGAGCACCCTAAGTGGGCCATGGTGTACATTCTTTCAAGCACATGCATTCTCATTATATACTTGTCAGCACTATTTTAAGCCACAAAAAAGCAGAAACTATCACTGCGGAGGTTTGGGTTGAAAATGTCTAAACATGCCTAGCTAGGTATTAGGGGCGGTAATACCCATGCATTACTGGGAAATGAATAATATGACATACGCAGCAAGACATATTATGGCATGACCAATCGATGTATTAACGATGCAGCCGGTACCCTTTATGGAAACGATACGTTGGGCGACGACGACGACTCAGCAGCTGCGACACCTCCTTGCAACTTCGTCGCTGGGACGACGAAACGAAACCCTTTTCGCGCGACGCACGAATCTCAAGGGTGATGTGTTCGCGGTTTGCCGTTGGAAAACAACTACTGTATCGCACCCAGCCCAGCAAAGTCAGATGAACTGACCAAAAGCCAGTCGCGTGATTGTGAATGGTCTGGCAGGAAAAATCAGCCGTCACTGTCGGATCTTTTTCCTCCCTCCTGCCCACCGCCAAACTTCTCCCTCGCAAATTGTCCAATCTTGGCATTTCGCAAAATTCGTCGAGCGTGGAATTCCGCGACTCGATCGGGATATATTCGAGTCAACAGGAATTCGCCCCTACTTCGCCAAACCTCATCTTCCTTCCATTCACTCCTCATCATCCTCATCACCCATTGATCCATCACCTCCCCCTGTTACCAACGATCCAACAATCCTACATACTTCAGTGACTGTTTCTCGTGCGCTTTACTTAGCTGTCTACATTGTTCCGCCTCCTGTCCATAGACTGCAGTTTTGAAATTACTAATTACGTTCTCAAGAAGGAATTTAAGCGTTACATAGAAGCCAACATCAAGTATTCAAGCGAGACAAATATTATACGTGATTGCTGCATATAAAATTAGAAGACGAAAAAGCATTAGGTACCAATGGGGGGCTGCGTGTCGATCGAGGAGGACCCCAGAGGCCGAGTGGGGCCAGCTCCTAGCCGCTCATCGTCCCGCGCAACCCACTCAAACCGCGTCGCACCGCAAAGCCCCTCTACAGCAAGCAAGCGCTTGGCCCGCAAGTCCTCCCCAATGCGATCCCCCTCTTCCGCTTCCGCTTCCGCTTCCGCGTATCGGTCCGGGGGACTCCTTCCCAAGTCCAACGAGAGCAACGCCAGTGCCGCCAGCGCCGGCAGCGGAAGCGGCCGCCGATCGTGCCCTCAAACACCGCGCGGGGGTTCCGGCGGCGGCTTCCGCACGCCACCTGGCAGCGGCGGGCTAGGGTCCGGCCGACGCGGCGGCGCGCTTGCGGATCGAACGGCTCTGGCGAACGGCGGGGCCGCCATTTCATCGCTGCGCGAATTCTCGTACCAGGAGCTATTTATAGCGACGCGGAAATTCGAAAAGGAGGGAAAGCTGGGGGAGGGCGGATTCGGGAGCGTTTTCAGGGGAACGATCGAAGAGGATGTTTGCGCTTCAGGCGCGGGGGTGGGCGCGGGGAGCGGGGAGAGCGGAAGGCGGAAGGTGCAGGTGGCGGTAAAGGTGCTGAACCAGGGGGGGCAGCAGGGAGAGACGGAATGGAAGACGGAGGTTCGGTACCTGAGCGAGCTTCGGCACCCGAACCTGGTGCGGCTGGTCGGGTACTGCTCGGACGGGCACCACCGGCTGTTGGCGTACGAGTATCTTCCGTACGGCAGCCTCGAGAGATTCCTCTTCACTCGTGAGTTCCTGTTCGTGCGATTCCTGAAACTAATTGAAAAGATTTCGATCGATAAGACACCATAAGACACTCCCGAAACTCGAGGGTGCCGTATCTTTCGTACGGCAGGCTCGACTGATTCATCTTCAGCCGTGAGTTTCAGATCCGTCGCAAGAACGCGCAATCGTCGCAATCGTCTCAATCGTCGCCATCGCTGTCGCCAAGCTATCCCTGGATTTGGGGCGTGCGGGTGAGGGTGGCTCTTCGTTCATGCTCCCGTGTCATCCTTTTCCCCTACGCATCCCGCTTCCCCCCCCCCCCCCGCTTCCCCCCTCCCCGCTTCCCCCTCCGCCGTCATCCAACCCCCCTCTGCAAGGCGCCATCCAGCTCCCTTCCGTGGGCGGTGCGCATGAAGGTGGCGCTGCACGCGGCCGTTCGACCCCTCGCCTTCATTGTTGTTCTCATCTTGCCCCCACCTCCTCCCCTTCCCCCCCGGCTCCCCCCCTCCCCAGGCGCCATCCAGCCCCTGCCGTGGCCGGTGCGAATGAATGTGGCGCTGCACGCGGCCGCTCGTCCCGTTCCCTCCCCTCTTCTTCTCATCTCCATTCCCTTCCCCCCTTGCTTCCCCCAACCACCCTCTGCCAGGCGCCATCCAGCCGCTGCCATGGGCGGTGCGCATGAAGGTGGCGCTGAACGCGGCCGCTCGACCCCTCGCCTTCATTCTTGTTCTCATGTTGCCCCCACCTCCTCCCCTTGACCCCCCGTTCCCCTCCCCACCGGGCCCCATCCAGCCGCTGCCATGGGCGGTGCGCATGAAGGTGGCGCTGCACGCGGCCGCTGTTCCCGTATTTTCCCCCCATTCTTCTCATCTCCATTCCCTTTCCCCCCTTGCTCCCCTCCTCCCCTTCCCCCCTGCAGGCGCCATCCAGCCCCTGCCATGGGCGGTGCGAATGAAGGTTGCGCTGCACGCGGCGCAGGGCTTGGCGTATTTACACGAGGAGGCGGACCGGCAGATCATCTACCGCGACTTTAAGGCGTCCAACATTCTGCTGGACGAGGTAGGTGACTGTAGCGAATTGTGTTATAACGAGTATGGGGACTTATTGGGTATGAAGGCGTATCTGCACAAGGAGGCGGACCGGTAGATCATCTACCGCGACTTTAAGGCGTCCAACATTCTGCTGGACGAGGTGCGTGCGTCTAGCGAGTGCTGTTATAACGAGTATGTCCGAGATTTGTGTGTATAAAGCGTATCTGCTTGAGGAGGCGGACCAGCAGATCATTTACCGCGACTTTAAGGCATCCAGCATTCTGCTGGACGAGGTGCTTGCGTCTAACGAGTCGGGTTATAACGAGTATGGGGAGATTTTTGTGTCTGAAGGCGTACCTGCACTACACGAGGAGGCGGACCGGCAGATCATTTACCGCGACTCAAACCTCCCATTGCATTGATTTCCACGCCCTTCCCCCCTCATCCGTATGCTCAAATCCCCATTGCACGCCTCCCCATCCCCCCCTCTCTCAGGACTTCAACGTGAAGCTCTCTGATTTCCCCCCTCATCCGTATGCTCAAATCCCAATTACACGCCTCCCCATTCCCCCCCCTCCCAGGACTTCAACGCGAAGCTCTCTGATTTCGGCCTGGCAAAGGACGGCCCGGAGGGCAACCAGACGCACGTGTCAACCCGAGTCATGGGCACGTACGGCTATGCCGCCCCCGAATACATGATGACCGGCCACCTCACCGCCAAGTCAAGAGCTGACAGACACTCATCCCTCCCTCCCTCCTTCCCTCTTCCCTCCTTCCCCTCCTCCTCCCTGCTTCCACTGCTCACCACATCCCCTGGCCCCCTATCTCAGGATTTCAATGCAAAGCTCTCTGATTTCGGGCTGGCAAAGGACGGCCCCGAGGGCAACCAGACGCACGTGTCAACGCGGGTCATGGGCACATACGGCTACGCCGCCCCCGAATACATGATGACCGGCCACCTCACCGCCAAGTCAGACGTCTACAGCTTCGGAGTCGTTCTCTTGGAAATGATTAGCGGGCGGCGGGCTATGGAGCCGGAGTTTCCAAAACGGCAGCAGAATATTGTCGAGTGGGCTCGGCCGTTTTTAGTCGATCCGGCAAAGATGCTGCTATTGGTGGATCCGAGGGTGGGCGGCGAGTACTCGGTGAAGGGTGCACAGCGGGCGGCGGTTCTGGCACGCAAGTGTCTGAACAAGGACCCGCACGCGCGGCCTCTAATGTCGGAATCGGTTCGGGTGCTTTCCTCGATTCAGAACTTGACGGATTTTGCGAGCAAGCTGGAGCAGGCTCAGCGGCTACACGGCGCTTAGTTGAACGCTCCTTGGTGTGGGAACCAGGCATCCCTGTAGAATGCGGCCTGAGCAAGATGGGGCTAAGTCGAGAGATGAGGGTTGGCTCCAGTCGAGGCTACTTATACACTGTTGCTGGACTGGCTGTGAATCGCACAGCTTGTGTCGTGCGGGCAACGCAGTGACATGATAGTGCTCTTATGAGCGGCCATGTAGGAGTAGTACGGTAGGAGCTTTGCTTGTTGCAAAGCACTGTAGCTATTACATTGTGAACTTGGCTCACTGAACGTCAATGACCAGTTTAGTGGGAATAACCCCACATTGTATACAACGCCCCTGCTTTCATGGCTACTCCTCCTTGCACCTGTCTTGCATCTTCACATTCCTGCTGATGCATGCCGGTGGCCTATTCCGCGAACTAGCGTACATACATCCCGAGATCTTCTTCACCCAACTCGCTATGGTACCAGTTTGCCTATACCGGTATGTCCCATGCATTTAACGCGTCACCACATCCAAGCTTTTCTTGGTGCTCACCAAATCACACACTGCTAGTCGTGTAAGACCCACCTAGCATTATGAGAATGGTTCTGGTGATTTTTATGTGCCTGATGAAGACCCTAACATGCCCACACACACTCAATTGCATTGCTACCAACTCACTTTGTTTCTTAGCAAGATGTTTCATGTTTGCTAATCTCACACGAATACACTGCCACTGCAGAACAGCAATATGTCACTAAGAAATGGTGCACTGTTGTGCCGTAGGCAAGAAGTGCTGCAAGTAAAAGATCCTATGAATCTGCATGCTGTTTTTTCTTTCCATCTCTGGACCGTGTATTTAGTTAAGGATTTCGCCGAACCGAGACCGCTTAGGACAAGCTTTAGGGCCCAGTTCACTTGGACAGCAGGCACACAGACACCCTACAAACTCGAGAAGCCATTTCAGAAACCTATTTCAACAGGGTTATCCGAGCTTGATTAAAACAGGCCTTGGGCGCAAGGACCAGGACAAGCTGACAAACAGCGGAATTGCCAGTTCTGTGGTTCACGTGACAAGATTCACCGAGGGCCGCTCTCAGCCACTTAGACAGCCCCGAAAGGATGGCATCCTGAAGAACATTTGCAAGGGCAACTGAGCAACCAATCGGAGGAGCATGATGGCTTGTGTGGTGTTCAATTCCCTGCGCTTCGAAAGCGCAGAAAACGATTTTCCACCACATTTTTCCATCCGTAGATAAGACGGGCATCGATGTTTGCCAGTTTCTGCGCATCGAGTTTCAATCACTTGCGCAGCGATTGCTTTTGTCACGTGACGGATCCGAAAAGCACGATTGTCCCGGTTTTTGAGAATTAAACATCTGACAGGTGGGCCAGGACGCAAACAAAAAAAACGTACAGGTGTCGCTTTCTCAGGCTGAGACTTTGTCTTAATAGCCGAAGAAAACCAGGATAACAACAAACGTAATTCAGCATGAAACAGGTGAAGATAAGGTCGGAGTAGTTCTGACCGGAAATGTTATGAGCAGATCTGCCATACCCAATTGCAGATTCGGTATCCGAAATAACGCTGGCATCTTCACGTGGTCACCAGTGCTCGGGCAGGACTCAGGTCAGGTCACGAGGATGACGAAAGCTTCACACCGCCATTTGTGGCTGCCTACAGACACGACAGCACAGGCTGGCCTGAAACCCCGTGTGTGCACAGATTCGTGTACAGTTGGTGTAACATCGAATAAGGCAGTGCAATTGGTTTCCCCCAAACTGTAGAATTGTACATCTAGGCCGTCGATCCGTCCATTTGAGTCCACCCTGGCACTCTCGCTACGGCATTCATTTGCAAATGACCAGGCACTGATGTGAGAGTTTTGCTCAAATCCGCGGAGTCGCGGTTCGTTTTATTATCGCCACGTGGCATGCATTCGATCGCGTGAACCGCGATCTGTTCTATTGTTATCACAAACTTCAAGAGAATTTTAGTTAAGTTCTGTACTGCGCTACCCACGGGCAAAAATAAAACCCATTCGGGCCTGGCATGGGTTAGGGAGGCATCAACCCTAAACACCTTGCCTCTAGGTGTTTAGGGTTGATGCATCCCTAACGCATGCCTTACCTATAGGGGTTTTATTTTTGCCCGCGGGCAGCGCAGTACAGAACTTAACTAAAATTCTCTTGAAGTTTGTGATGACAATATAACGGATCGCGGCTCACGCGATCATAGGCTCGCCACGTGGCGATAATAAATCAAACCGCGTTTTCGCGGAATTGAGCAAAATTCTCCACTGATGTCATTTCCCACAAGCGCTGGACACTCGTATGAAACCCTAGCTCCATTCAGCGCCTCGGAACTTTCTTCCGCACTTTTTTGCCATATCTTCCCGTTCAGCCCGCGATAAAGCGATATTTTGCTGAGCGCCGAATGGATGGCTGAACACTCTGCCTCGCTGGATTGCACTTTTTTGCCCGCCAAACCCGCGTGCTCGTCTGTGGTTGGATATTTTCACCTCGTCTCCCTCCTTCCCCCGATTCCCTCGAGATTGCGTGCAAGAAATCCCTGTCCGCCCGCAACAGGTTGTCCGGATTCCCCCTTCTCGTTCCGCTTCTCCTCCGCATCCTCTGCTTTCGTAGCTTTCTCGTGTTCTCTTCCCCGGTCTGCCCTCCCCCTGCCCCCCTGCCCCCATTCCCCTATCATCCTCCCCCCTCCCCTCTCCCCGCTTTTCCCCGCCCAACCAAACTCACCTTTTCACTTTCTTCCGCGTGCCTGCCTGCCTGCCTGCCTGCCTGCCTGCTTGCTTGCTTCAGGATAAGGCTGACAGTCTTTCTCTGCCATTAGTTTCTTTGATTCACCATTCACCAAAGCAGGCAGCTAGGAAGTCCCCAGGTCACTTGTAAAGCAAAACTGGATCTAGATTGATTTCGTCCGCGGAGCTCATGTCTGGTTTCGTTGCTAGAATATGCCCGAGATCCGTTGTTACGAAAACCACATAGAGTAACTGTTCACATAGATTTCCGCTACCTGTAGTGACCTAGAACGCCTTAGCAGATGGGTCGTCAGAATAGTAATGGCGGTCGTAGCCGGAAGGATCAACCCGAGGCTGTCGCGCTTTTCCCGCCGATACATGTTAGCCATGCGACAGCGGCGTCGGGCCCTAAGGCACCTCCGCGAAACAAGATGGCACTCTACGAGCAGGTTTCAATTCCATCGAAGCGATTCCGGCCGTCGCCTCACCCTCTCGGAGGGCCAGCTATGAACGCACCGTCGACGTTTCATCCCATGCACAGCGGGGTACGTGGTCCGTGCGAACGATGATCGCTGCAAGCGACGCTCGGTTCCGGCGAAGTACGCCGACCGTGGTTTCCAAAAACTATATCAGAGAGTCTTCGACTTGTCCAATTAAGGCCCGAGGTGTTACGTTGTTAGCTATGTACGAAGTTTATTGTTGTGTGTATCGAGGGAGTCGCCAGCGAGTATGGCTTGCGTGTATGATGACATAGTTTTTTTTCAGGAGCTTAAATGGGGTCGCTTTATTTCTCATCCTTTCCGTGCTCCTCCTTAATTTCAAATTTGCTCAATTCTCCTCTCCCTTCCTCACTACCCCCTGTCGTGGCCTTCCTATCCACAGTCGACGGTCCCGTTGATGCCTCCCAACTACGAGAGTAAATTCTCCTACGCTCCATACGCCGCCCAGCAACAAGCTCAGCAACAGCAGCATCCCACCAACAGCTTCAAAACCCCGCCGCAGGCCGGCAGCATGCTTCAATCCCACTCCGGAATCGCCAGCAGCACGGGAAGCTTCTCCGAAGCCGCCGCCTTTCAAACCGTCGGCCAGGCAGCGTTAGCCGCCTGCGCCGCGCACAGCACCGGCGGCGGCGCGGGAACTGCTGCCGCCCGGCACGGAGGCGGAGGAGCAGGCGGCGCGGGGAGCATCGTTCAAGGAAGAAGCGTGGGTGCCGGCGCGGGAGCAGGAACGGGAGCGGGAGCGGTGAGCAGCAATAGCAACAGCCACGGACAGTCGACTCGAAGCGACGCGGATCAATGGGCGTTCTGGGCTTGGCAGCAGCGCCACATGCCGTGGGGAAACGGCGCGTCCCCCAGCTCCCCCTCTCCGCCAGTCATGCCGCAAGCTTCCATGTCCCCCGCGAGCGCCGCCGCCGCCGCGGCCGCCGCGATGGCCGCCTTTGCCGGCGCCGGCAACAGCAAGGACGGCAGCACTGCGGCGATGTACCCGCTGCAGGCGCTCACTGCCGCGTCGGGTTTGGGCGGCAGTCGCGGCGACCCGGGTGCGGCGGCGGCTGCTGCGGCGGCTATGGCGGCGGCCGACGCGGCGTTTTTTAATTACGGAAGCGCGTCGCAAGTCGCGGGCATGGGCGCGGGTACGGGTTCCGGCGCAGGCGCAGGCGCAAGTGGCGCAGTTCCGCCGCTCACCCCTGGAACGTGGAATGGCGCATCGGCGGAAGGAGGCCTGGCGGGACTCATGTCCAATTTCAGCTGGCCTGGATCTGGTAACCCGAATGCGTTACTTATGATGAGCCAAGCGCACATGTTCGGCGGAATGGGCGGATTCGGGGGAAGCTCAGGCGCGGGGTCTCCGCCCGACCGCGGGTGCATACACGGAGAAGGGGAGGCGTCGGGGCAGCAGCAGCAAGGGCGGAGCCCGTCCGCTGCGGCTGCGCGTTCCGCCGCCAGCGAGAGGCTCGGGCGCAGGCGCGGGGAGGAGCGGAGCAGCCGCGGAGGACCCGCGCGGAGCGGAGTGGACGACGCGCGGAAAGGTGGCTTGCGGAAGAGCGCAAGCACGAGGTCCGCGGGGTCCAGAGGTCCAGCGGCCACTGCGCCTGGTGGTGCCATCGGCGGAGGCGGAGGGGGAGGCGGAGCAATTGGCGCGATGTCGACGACGAGTGGGCGGAGCATGAAGAGCACGATGAAGAGCGGGGCGCGGGGTGCGGCGAAGGGCGGAAAGGGGAAGAAGCGCAAGGAGATGGCAGCTGGTGACGGCGCAGAGATTTTGGCACAAGCGCAGCAGGAGCAAGCGCAGGAGCGCGCGGAAGGATCAGCAGGAGCAGCGGCAGAGGCAGCGGAAAGAGCGGGAGTGGGAGCGGGAGCAACAGAGGAGGAGCTGTTTCGGGGAATCGAGGTTCTTCGCGCTGCCGCCGTAGCTGCGCGGGAGGAGGAGAGACGCGCGCGCGCCGCAATTGAACATCAGGGAACTGGTCTTGGCTGCGCGGATGCGGCGGCGGAAGCTGCAGCGCAGGCGGAAGAGTATGACGACGCGCGGATGGTCGCTGCGCGGGCGGACGCGGAGGAGCGAACGGGCGCGGAAGAAGGAATGGGAATGGCGGAAAGGGGTGATCTGGAGAATCAGAAGGGCGAGAGCTTCGGGGAGCAGCGCGAGGCGCGGGCTCTAGGGCGCTTTCGCGCTGCTGCCGCCGCCGCTGCCGCCGCCGCCGCCGCGGGCGTTGCTGCTGGGTGTGCAAGCATTTACCATGGAGGGTTGGTGGCTAGCGAAGGAGCCTCGCTCCTCCCTGCCGCCGCTGCCGTCCCTACTCTTCCTTCCCCTGCTATATCCGTCCGTGCCCCTGCTGCCACTGCTGCTGCCGCTTCTCCTGCTGCTACTGCTGCTCCCGCGGGCGCGGAGGCGGCGGGAGGCATGCTGGCGATGGTTCTGGGAATGGCGGGAGGCGTGGAGGACGAGGAGGAGGAGCGATTTCGGCGGGACAGCAGGAAGCGGAGCAGGCGCGCGGAGGAGGCGGAAGGGGAGGTCGCAGGAGGGAGCAAGAGGGGGAAGGGGGAGGGAGGGGAGGGAATGGGGAGAGGGGAGAGGGAGAGTGGGGAGATGTGTGTGGGTGACTTGGTCGGTGCGGTGGGGCAGAAGGAGTTTTGGCGTGTGAGGAAGGGCATTGTGAGGCAGCAACATATCTTCTCTACACAACTGTTTGAGCTTCACCGACTCAACACGGTGAGTTATAATTTCTTTCTGTTTTCTGCCCGTTGAATCTCCAGTGTGTCTGTTATTTTCTTTCTCTTTCTCCCTTTTCCACCTCTGCTTTTGGACTTAAGCGCCACTCCCTTTTCTTTTTCCCGCCGTCTAACGTATTCAGGTGCAGCAGGGGCTGATGCACGAACCGCTGAACGCCAAGAAGGACCAAGTGCAGGAAGAACAAGAGCAGGAGCAGCAGCAGAAGCTGCGAGTGCCAGCAGGTTTGCAGCTAGACCAGGGCCAGGCGTCGGTCCCTGCTGCACCTTGTCCCAACGCTGCTGATGTTGCCGACAGTTCTGCTGCTGCTACTGCTGCCACTGCCTCTGCCGCTGCTGCCGCTTGTGGTGCAGTGGATGCTGCTGCAGCGGATGGGAGCATTGAGGAACCTGCCGGCCAATCGCCGTGCCCCAGCCGTCGTGCTGGCAGCAGCAGCAGGGTGCAAGGAACCGCCGCCGGTGCTACGGAGAGCTGTTTTCCTGATGTGCTTGAGAAGTCGGCTTCAACGGACGCCAGTGCGGGAGCCAATGCAGCTGCGACAACACCACTGTCAGCAGCAGCAACCGCAGCAGCGGCTGCCGCCTCCGCAGCCGGCGCAGCAGCTGCAGCAGGTGGGATGAAGCCGCCTCCTGCCCGGTCTCCCCACAGCCGCCCTCCCGTTTCCCCAGCGCCCCGCCTCACCAGCATTCCCGCCTTCCCTGCTTTCACCGACGCACCTGTTGCCGCTGAAGGGTCCTCTGGAGCAGCTATATCAGCAGCGGCATCACCAGCAGCATCAGCCATTCCAGCAGCACCAGTGAGACACGCTCCCTTGGACATGCAAGCAGGGGCGTCTGGAGCAGCAGCAGTTGCTGCTGCTGCTGCTGCATCGGCGGCAACTAGGGGCGGTGCTGCTGCTGGGTGGTCATTCCCTCTGTATGCTCGCTTCGCCAAGAATGCTGACCCGGCTGCTGCTGCAGCTGCGGCTGCTGCCGCCATTGCTGCCGACGCTGCTGGTGCCAAACCTGCTGCCGCGCCTGCTGCAGCTTCGGACAACGCCACTGCTGCTCGAGCAACCGCCGTCACCCCAGCGTCGTTCGGGTTCCTGACAGGCTCGGAATCTGCCGGACCTGAAGGCTCGGACGTGTTTGGCTTGAGCTGGGGTACCGTGCCTGAGTCAGAGGCTGGGGAAGGTGGAGGGAGCGGAGGAGAAGGAGAGAGGAAGAAGAAAGAGGGGAATTCATCGAAGTATGCTGCTATGCTTAATGCCATGGGCCTCCCTGCTGATTTTACCATGCCTGCCAATTTCGGCATCCCTGCCAATTTTGGCATGCCTGCTAATTTCGGTATCCCTGGACAAGCAGGCATGGCTGAGGCTATGGGCATGAGCTTTGGCATGGGAATGAACATGAACATGGGGATGGGGATGGGGATGGGGATGGATATAAGTGCTGCTGCCGCTCCTGCTGCTGCTACTACTGCTGCTGGTGGTGCAGGTGTGGGTGCATCTGGTGCAGGCGCATCTATGATGATGGATATGACAGCTCTGCATATGTACATTGCACAGCAGCACCGCATGCAGCAGCAGCTGCGCCAGCAGCTGTTTCAGCAGCAGCAGCAACAGCAGCTCCTGCTTCAGAGCCTCGGGGGTCTTTTCCCTACTTTTCCTCCGGCTGCTGCTGCCATTGCAGCTGCTGCTCCTGCAGCTGCACCTTCTTCGCCTGCTGCTGCTGCTGCTGCTCCTGCAGCACCTGCTTCTGTGGAGGAGCCTGGTTGTCGGCCAGGGGAGGAGGTGTTGCCAATAGGAGCTGCTGCCGGGAGTGCAGCAGCATTTGCAGCATGGCGCTCGGCTGTGGCAGCGTCTGCGAGAGGAATGGCTGAGGACAAGGTGCAGGGCAACTCGCAGGACAGGATGCCGCAAAGAGATGAAAACGATGATGGATCAAGGCATAAAGATTTGGAGCTGAGCCTTTTTCCTTTTGCGAACAAGCGGAACTAGTTCATCGTGTTTATGGTATATCTTACCAGTATACTGCATATTAGGAAATTTTTGTGTGCATAGTTTCTGTAAGACTACTGAGATTCTCGTGTAACTACGAAACTCTTTGAAAATCAAGGACGTTCACGCATTTTTCCCGCAACGTGAGTGGCTCACGTTTTCCCGAGTCACGTGATGCTGCAGAGTCAGGAAGGGAACTGCACAGTTCACCGAACACGCGCGAGAATGCCATTCGTGCACTGTAGATTAGGCAGTTCACATGTGGTTAACTGCTTTTTGTTTTCATGGGGATAGGTTGGAGGTTGACACATTTTATCATCCGCCTTCTCAGGTTCGGGAGTCAGGACGTGGGGCGTGCTTTTGACCAGAGAGGGGGTCGAAATTTCTCAAGTGGAGAGGTTTCGCATGCAAAAATTCGCCACAATGAGGGCTAGTTCGTAGTTTTGACACCAGTGTCTTTTGGAATTTTGACACAAGCATACATTGTTGGTTGGTGTCAAAAAATCGTTCAATGTCAGCCTGTCAAAATCATCGGATATCTTGTTCGCCTAGAGTCGCAGCGCATACCATCCAACCAGAACCATCGCATCGATGAACATGGCGATTCGCTCTCACCTAATCAAAAATCTGCAAAACCTTGATTCTGCGATGTTCCACAAATCGCCACCCAACACGTGGGTGTTGGGGTTGCACTGTGGTGTTGCGCCTGACAGTTTGGCACGTTCATATAATCGCACAACACATTTTTCGTGTCCCACCAATGAGGCTTCGTCGCGCAGTTCCATGGGCGCGACTCGAGTTGACCCAGCTGCTACAGTTGTTGACACTGGAAAGTGGGGCGACTCGGATTGACACGCATAAGCAGTTGGTGTCAAAACTGCGGACAGGATCTGAGTTCAACAATTACAGGTTCACCGCCGGTTTATTTCGGGGTACTTCTATGCCGGGCACATCAATGCCCGATAGAATCTGAACCCACATCGGTAGTAGCAGGCAGGACAATCATTTTCCGGTTCGCTTTCTCGAGCTGTCACGTGACGAGAGAACTGTTCGCCCCTCATTCAAGAAAAATATCCTGCTGAGAACCACGCGCGATGACGTGGCGGATGTATTGCTTCACTGTTTGAGATCCGCACTCCGCGATTGCAATGCCTCTCGCGTACACTGTCATCACCGTCGATGCCAGCGCTGCGGACACGCAGACAGTTGAGATGAGCTGAACCGTTGAGGCCTCCCATGGTCCCGGAACGCTGGGAAGTGCATAGTCAGATGAACGGCCTTCGGTGCACTTCTGGGCAAGAAGCCATCGCCCTACCATTCCCAGTTACGGCCCCCACATCACACGAGTCGCAAAGGGCCATCCAATCAGAGATGGGGTCATTGCAGCCCTTGAAACCTTAGCGGATTTGACGGTCGTAGGCGAGCCACTTCTTCAGGAACCTAGAGCACGATACTTACAACAAATCAGAGATCGCCATGTGGGCATCTTGCAGGCCGCTGAACGGTAAGTCTGCCCTTGAAAGGAGAAGTCTTCTGTGTCCGTCCTTGATTCTGCTCCTCGTTCTGTGCTGCCCACCAAAGTGTTTTGGCGACGAGCTGGTCTGGACGAACCGAAAGGACGTAGCTGGTTGGCTGACGATGCTTGTGGCGAAAGGTATGGCAGCGCTGTGGTGACTTTCTATCGAGTGGAGATCCCAAGCCTCACGAAACAAAAACCAAAATGGGGAATTGTGATAACCAGGGCACCTTCCCGAAACCCAAACATTTCCGTGTTACTGGTGCCACCACATTTGAAGGGTAGTCCACTCCCGATGGTCCCACATCAACAAAACGCCCACGTCGTTATCAAGCATTTCACGACAGATGGAGCATGCGTTTAGCAAAGTTCGGCTACATAGTTACACATTTAGGATGTACATGTCAGATATAAACACCCTGGATTTGAGGGTTAGAATCCGCTGCTTCTGGACCTCTCGTCATCGCTCACGGGCACCTCCTGTATCCGTCATCCCAAACTCCTAGGAGATAACACCATGGATTTTCCGTCACTCCATCAGTCACGGACACACGGATATTCATACACAATACACGCCAGCTGAGCTGATAATTTGGTTGGTAGCCTGGCCTGGTTGTCCGTCCCCCTGGGCCGTGTCTGCTTCACACTAGCTGCGCTGATAGAAGTACGCACCCTCCCTATTTCTCAGCTCATTTTACACGTGTGAAACTGATCGCGAAACTGACAGCTGGTAAAGCTCCACGCTCTTCGCTTATCTTAGTGCTCGGCGAATTCAGTGGCCTTCAGCCGCTCTTGATCACCATTGTACAGTCGCTCTGAATTTCCATCTTACAACCACTCAGGCTCGGCGTATAACAGCCAGCCAGTCACGCTCGCCGTCTAACAGCCGCCGGTCACGGTCACCATTTGCGACCATGGCGACGAGAGTGTCGCTCCTGCCGGTCACATCCCGCGCGTTATCTCTCGACCCGCCGAATTCGTCCAAGCGCGAGGTTAAATTTGGCGGCGGATTTCCCCATCCCCATGAGAACGCCGCAGGAATAGACGGGCACCGGCAAGGCCTGGGACCGAAACCCGAGGCGTTAATAATGAGAGCGGGAAAGGAGAAGCGGGGGGGACTGCTAGTGGAAGCGGAGCTTTCAGCAGCTTAAAGGCGGGGTGCAACTTCTTAGGAACAGTAGCAGGACAAACATGGAGTGTGCGTAACGAGACCCTTATTGGATGAAAAAAATGGAATCTCGGAAAAGACAAACTTCTCGCCACAGAACTGCCTGGGACAACCAAGTTCCAAGCTATAATACTTCGAAGTTGAAGCTGATAGTTGGGCCACGGCTTTAACCGGGGTTAGCGGAGGACTCCTTAACGGGGTCGGAAGCGGCACGGGGAGCGCTCCCGGTGACGGAGGTCGATCGGACGCGTGGTCGACGCTCCTAAGCCTGCCACGTCAGCCGCAGCAGAGCAGTCTCGGCCTTAATTTCTCCCACGGCCTTTCGTTCTCCCCTGCACCGTCCCCCACGGCCATGGGTTTCGCGCACGGTCTCTCCTTCACTCCCGCCGCCCCGCCCACGCCCGTACCGCGATCGTCGTCCCACGGGCTTTCGTTCTCCCCTGCACCGTCTCCCACGGCCATGGGCCTTTCCTTTACTCCCGCAGCTCATCCCACGCCCGTACCGCGATCGTCGTCCCACCACCATCTCAGTCAAAGCCACAGCAAGAATTACAGTCAGAATCACAGTCAAAACTACAGTTACAGTCACAGTAACGGTCAAAGCCCCAGCCACAGCACCAGTAGCACCCCGCCAGGAAGTGCTGGTGGCGGTAGCGGTGGTGGCGGCGGCGGCGGCGGCCGCGGCGGTAACTGGCCGATGTTCCGCGGGTTGGCGGCGCGGCACGCGTCCGCCGACTCGCTCCTGTCGCTCGCGTCGTCAGAAACCAGCAGCCTCGCGTCCTTCGCGACCGCGTCGGACCGCCTGGTAGAGCAGGAGATTAATCGGCGGGCCGCGTTAGACTTCGTCACGGAGCTAGCCGGCCCGCTGCAGCCCCCCAGCTCCCCCGCGCATTCGCTTTCCGGGGAGCGCACCCCGCCCGCTGGCGCAACCCTCGGCGCAAACACCTTCGGCGCAAATCCCGGCGGAGCCTTAGCCTCTGGCGCAGCGCTTCTGAGCGCAAGCCTTAGCGGGGACTTGCCGATTACCGCCAATGAGCTCCCCGTGGCGGTGTTTGCGGTCGACCGGGACTTGGTGTGCGCGCTTTGGAACAGGCGCATGGCGGAACTGACGGGATGGGCGGAAGGGGAGATCATGCGCCTGGGTCGATTCGCGGAAGGTCGGTTTGCGGAGCGGCTCTTCCGCCCCGCCAGCGCCTCCGCGCCGTTCCGCCGATGCGAGGACGTTCTCCGCGCCGCGCTCTTCGGCCGCGATATAGTCTCGGCGGAGTTGCTTCTGCTGAAGCGCGGAGGCAGCTGCGCGCGCGTGCGGTTATTCGCCAGCGCGCGCACCGACGCGCTCGGCGCAGTTTGCGGCGCGATTTGCGCCGTCATCCCGGCGTCTTCAGGAAGCGGGGGAGGATCGGCGGCCGCGCTGAGCGCAGCTTCCGCGCATGGGTTCGACGTGGATGGCGGCGGCGGAGGCGGCGGCGGAGGCGGAGGCGGCTTGCCGCCTTTTCCGCCGTCGTTTGCGGCGGGCGAAACCGAGGAATGGCTGCAGCGGAACGCATCGGCGGGGAGTCTGTACGGCATGCACTCCGTGGACGAGGAATCCGTGGGCGGTGAGTGGTGGGAGAGGTGGTGAAAGGCGGTGAGGGGCGTTGAGGGGCGGTGAGGGGCGGTGAGGGGCGGTGAGGGGCGGTGAGGGGCGGTGAGGGGCGGTGAGGGGCGGTGAGGGGCGGTGAGTGACGGTGAGTGGTTGTGATATCAAGGGCGGTGAGTCACTTGCAGTCCGCGCTCTGACCCTTCGTATCCACTTCTAGTCTGCCCCTCCCGTAACTCCTTACCTCATGCTTAACTCTCTCCTTCGTCTAGCCACATAATGACTCCTGCCTCAACCTCACCCTTCCCCACCCCTCTCCACCGCCCCCTACCCCTCTCCACCCCTCTGTCTCCCCTGCCCAGACGACAGCGACGCGGCCAGCAGCTGCAGCGATCTCTACCAGCTTGGCTCCGCCCCGTTCGGCAGCAGCGCCACTTGCGGCGGCAATTCCGGCGGCTCCAGGCGCCACGTCATGGAGCCTGTCTCCGCCAGCAGGCGCGCGAGCGGCGGCGGCGGCGGCGGCGGGGGGGTGCGCGGAGGTCACGCAGGCGCGGGCCAAGACTCGGGCACGGTGGCGGGAGTGGGGGTAACTGGGCGGCTTTCGTCGTCGTCTTCTGAGCGACAGCTGTCAGGGAGGCTCTCATTGGGGGAGAGCGAAGCTGCGACCGAATCAGGGGCGGCAGGAGGAGTGGGAGGAGCGGGAGGAGCGGGAGGAGCGGGAGGGGCAGGAGGGGCGGGTGAAGCGTTAGAAGCAGCCTTGCCTTTGACTCCGCCAGTTGCGGCGCCAGTTGCAGCGGCGTTGCCTTCCCCTGTCAACGCGCCAGCGCTCGTTGGTTCGGGCGCGGAAGGCCTGGGCGGAGGCGCGGGGGCTCACTTAAAGCCCGTACAGACGAAGCTAGCTATCCGACGTTCGTGCGAGCTGCCGAAATATGGTGCGTTGCATGTTACAACCCTGCAACCCATGGTCCTTTCGTTTATGTCACTGCAACCAAAGTTCCTTTCGCCATGTAGCACCAGCTGCTGTTCCAGTGTCCTTATATCGAAGCTCCTGTGCCATACGCGTTAGCAGCCCTTTCGTCTTGCTGCCAGGTCTCTTAACCTTTCTGCCTTGCCCCCTCTCTACCCCCCATTCCCCTCCTCCACTCCCCCTCTTCCCCTTGTTGTTCATTTGATTTTCTCGCAGCGTATTCCTCTCTCACGGGCATGCGTCGCAATATCAGCAGTGATGCTCTCAATAACGCGGACACCTCTCCATCCCACCACCACCACCACTCCCACCGCTCAGCATTCTCCTTCCAACCCACCACTAATACAAACACTCACACCAACCCCACTTCCACTCTCCCGTTCTCCTCCTCCCTCTCCCGCCCGCTCACCTCCCGGTTGTACCCCGCCTCCTCTTCCTCCTCCCTCCCCTCCGCCTTCTCCCACTCCTCCTCGCACTCCTCCTCCCCAAGCGTCGCGTCCTCATCCTCGTTAGTGCGTGCTCTGATAGCGGACGGAGTGACCACGGGGCGCAATGACCTGGCGCACCAGCTGGAGCGCTGCGGGTTTGACGTGGTGAGTGCCACGTCAGTGCAGGAAGCTGCGTGGAAATACGAGCAGACTGCTCTCTACGGCACTCTCCCTCCCTCCCCTGCCACTCCTCCTGCTCCTGCTGGCTTATCATCTGCCACCAGTGCCACCACCACTGCCTCACACAACACTCCTGCTTCTGCTGCCACCGCTGTTTCTCCTCCTCCTCCTGCTGCTGCTGCGGGTGGTGGGAGTGGGGGAGTGCTATTCTCCCTGGTGGTCCTAGACTTGGAGCAGGCCACGAGCAGGGCGGGGCAGGCGGCCATTCGCGACATCAGGCGTGCCGAGCGAGCACTGCTGTCCCGCCGCCTCACTCTCGGCACCGCCACTCCTGTTGGCACTTCTGGCGCTGCTGCTGCTGCTGCAGGTACTGGCTTTGCTGGTGCTGGGGCTTCTGCAGGTGGTGGTGGTGGGTGTGGGCGCGTTGATGGGGACATGAGGTCGCTGGGAGGGCTCAAGGTGCTGAGTGAGGAGGGCGAGGAGGACGAGGGGAGGAGTGAGGAGGCGAGGAGTGAGGTGAGCGATAGTGCAAAGCAGCAATTGGAGGGGGAACAGGAGACGGTACAGCGACAAGAGCAAGCGACAGTGGAACCCTCTTCCTTAACTGCATCATCCTCCTCCCCTGCTGCTGCTGCTGCTGCTGCTGCTGTTACTTCTGCCCCTGCTGCTGCAGCAGGTGCTGCGTCGTCGCCGGATCGTACGCTGATAGTGGTGGTGGCGGATCTAAGCCGGTACGACCAGGTGGGGCTGGATGCGGCAATGGAGCAGTGTATGCTTGCGGGGGTGGACGCCTTTATTCCCCGCTCCATGCACCTGCAGCAGCTGCGGACGGCTCTTAGAAGACTCGGGCTGCATAGCAAATATCTCGTGCTGCCCGCCTCGCTGCCCCGCGCACATTCTGCTGCGAATGTTGCTGGTGTTGCTGCTGGTGCTGGTGTTGGTGCTGGTATGGGAGTGGGTGTGGGTGGTGGGATGACTGGATTGCAGTATGGTGTTGCATCGTCTCACCATGTGTTTGGTCATCAGGGGGTACATTTATCACGATGATTCTTTGGCGCGTTACTTCTAAAGTTTTAGGGGTGTGATTCGGTGTTACCTACTTGTAGATAGACTATGAATTTTTAGTTACCGTACTGATTATAATAATTTAACATTGTGCAGTTTATGTTATTAACACACGAATCCACGTTATCTGCTTGTATAATGAACCCGTTCAGCTTACAAGGAAGATTTCGACATTCTCTAGGATTCGTCTGACACTTCTGGTTTCCACTTGTCCACTCCATACGAACGAAGTCATTCAGTAATGAGATCAAGTCCTAGCTTGACCAGGCATTGATTTCAGCGCACGGTGTTCCGCCGTAGAGCTTCTCTCCGCCGCGATGCGATGTCACAGCTATGTGATCTGCGGCCCTGCGATGCGCATGGAGTGAGCAGCACAATTCGCATCGCCGCGGTTGCCATGCGAACCATCGAAGCGAGAGAGCCTGGCACTGGCAGTCGAGTCTAGTTCGCAGACTCGTCTGGTGCATCCGTGCATGTTGATCCGTTTTAAAATAGACCAATAGGACTGGTCCATCCTGTCGCGCATGGATGCAAGATAGTCAACGAGATAGTCAACGATAGTCAACGATAGTCAACGAGGTAGTGCATGGGGTGGGGTGTGGCGACGATGAGGACCGCTCTCTCTTCGACAATAAACGATAGTCAACGATATTTGACGAAATAGTCAACGATAGTCAACGAGATAGTCAACGCCGTTGTTCATGGAGTGGGCCGGCGACGATGAGGACCTCTCTCTCTTCGACGCGGACGACGACGATTTCCGCGAAGCTGCCGAAGTGCGGCCGGCCCTCCTTTCCTCGATCGCGCGGCCGGCGGCACCTTCCGAGCAGTCCGCCGCCGCAATTCCCGCCGCACCCCCCGCCGTGACTCCCGCCGCGAACCTCGCCGCTCCGCCCGTTCTCGCGATTTCCGAACCAGCCAAGCCGTCGCTAACGGATTCTATTCCCGGGGTTGCTCCGAAGCTGATTGACAGTCAGGATCGGGTTGGGGAGGCGCGGATTGGAGAGGATCGGTTTGGAAAGGATGGGATTGGCGGAGCAATTGGGCCAGGCGGAACAGGCGGAACAGGCGGAGGAGAAGCGGAGGAAGGTGGGGAAAGGGAGGGGGAAAGCGGTGCGGGGAGAGAGAGTGGGATTGGAAGGGAAGCAGAGGAGGATGAATTGGATGGAGAGGGAGGCGAAACGGAGGAGCCTGGTGCAATGGAGGAGAGCGGGTTGGATGGAGAAGGAAGGGAGGAGGGGACCGGGTTGAGTGGAGAAGAGGAGGCGAGTGGGTTGTCGCACGTGGGATCTGCTAACGAAGGCACTCCTAACGAGGTTGCTGCCACTAACGAGGGATCTGCTAACGAGGATGAATCGGAACAGGAAACAGGCGAGCGGGAAGGAGAGGAGGAGAGTGAGACGAATGGCATAGGCGCAGGGGGAGCAGCAGGAGCGAGAGGGGGAGCTGGGGAACAGGGTCAAGGGGATCAGCGGACAAAGGGCGGGAAAAAGAAGAAGAAAAAGGGGAAGGGGAAAGGTAGAGGGCAGAACGCTGGTCCAACTGCTGCTGCAACAGCAGCGCAGAATACAGACGCAGGAGTAGATTTGGCACGTCCGAATGACGCCACAACAGGCATTTCCGGTGCAGATGGAATTCTCCCCACAGCAGGGATTCCCTCCACGGGGGGAATTCCCCCCTCTGGGGGAAGCCCCCCCACAGCGGGGATTCCCCCCTCTGGGGGACGGCCCCCCACAGCGGGGATTTCCGCAGTGACCGCAGATGCAGGTTCCCTGAAGGAGGTGGTGCGGCAGGTAGATGAGTTAGATGAGTTAAAGGCTGCCTTGGCCCGGGAAAAGGATGCTAGAGTGGCAGCAGAGGAGCAGGCGAAACGGGCAGAAAGAAAGGCTTCTTGCGCAGTAGAAGAAGCTGCCCGGGCGGCGGACGGGCAGCGGCGGGCAGAGGCTGAACGGGCAGAGATGGAAAGAACGAAAGCTGAGATGCTGAAAAAGTTGCGGCATATAGTAGAGGAGGCGGTTAAGAGAAAGAAAGAAGCAGAGGAGGAGAAATCTGTCGCCGAAGCTGCCACCGCAGCTGCGGTGAAGGATCGGAACGAGGCTCGGAAGGAGCGGGACGAGGCTCGGGGAGAGAGGGATGGGGCCGTGCAGGAGAAAGAGCGGGCGGTGCGGGAGAGAGAGGTGGCTATCAGTAAGTTGGAGCGGCTTATAAAGGAGCGGGATGGAGCGGTGAGGGAGCGGGAGAGTGCGGTGAAAGAGATTACGAAACGGTTGAGTGGTGAGAGGGATGGTGCGGTGAAGGAGAGAGAGGTTGCAGTGTTACAGAGGGGGGCGGCTGTGAGGCATGTAGAGGCGGTGGAGGGGAGTGTGCGTCGTGCTGTGGGGAGATTGGGGAGGGAAGCGGAGCGGATTGAGAAGATGTTTGAAGGGATGTTTGGTGGGAAGATGGGGCATGGGAGGGTGGGTGATGGGAGGATGGGTGATGGGAAGAGGAGTGAGGGAGAGGTGGAGGGAAGCAGTGGTGGTGGTGGTGGAGTGAGGGACACTGGCAGCGGCACTGGTAAGGGGGAAAGTACCACTGACGATGCTAGCCCTGCTAAACCAGCAGCAGCAGCAGCGGGAGCAGCAGCATCAGCAAAAGCGTCAGCAGGAGATGAAGAAGACGTGGTTGCAAGGTTTGAAGCAGGAGTGCAGAGGGTTTCAGCTGTTATCGAGCTTGCAGCTAAGTCCGTGCGACGGCAGCGAGAGGAGATGGAGGAGCGAGCAGTCGCAATGGCTGTGGAGCTTTCTCAGCTAGAGTCTGATGTTGTTGATGCAAAGAGGGAGGTCGAGAGAGTGAGAAAGGAAGGGGAGGAGGAGGTGGAGCGAGTGAGAAAGGAGGGGGAGAGGAGGGTTGAGGAGGGGAGGGTGGAAGGGGAGAGGTGGAGGGTGGTTGCAGAGGAGGCGGAGAGGAGAGTGAGGGAGGTTGAGGAGGAGAGGAGGAGGGAGAGGGGGAGGGTGGAGGAGTTGGAGAGGGTGCGAGGGGAGTTGGAGCGGTTGAGAGAGAGGGTTGGGAGGAGTGGAAAGACCAACAGCGCAGGCGGGGAGGGGGTAGAAGGTGGGGAAGGGAAGGAGGACACGGAAGGGAAGGAGGGGAAGGGAGGGGAGGAGGAGGAGGGGAGGGAGGGTGGCGTGGAGGAGATTAGATGGGTGGAGAGGCGTTTAGAGGAGGCAGAGATAACTGTGAGCGATTGGAAGAGCAAGGAGAGAGAAGCACAGAGCCGTGCCGTTGGTGCTGAAACGAAGCTGGCAGCCAGGGTGAGTGCTTGTGTGAAATCTGTATTGAAAGCATTTTTTGTTTGTACCGATCCCAACCACTTTGTATCCCCTTGTTTGGTTTTCTCCAACCTTATTTCCATGTCTGTTCTTTCTGTTTGCGGGTGTATGGTGCAGGAAAGGGAGATAGAGCTGCTGCAGCGGCATGTGGAGGAGGAGAGGAGGGAGAGGAAGGAGGAGATGGAAAAGAGCAGGTGAGGGAGAGAAGAAGGCGTGGGTTAGGGTTTCAAGAGGTGCAGGGAGGTGAACAGGAGTGGAAGGAGGGGATGGGTAAGGCCAGGTGAAGACATACAAAAGGAGTGGGTCGAGGTCTAGAGGAGATGGAAGGGGTGAATTTCGAGGGTATTGCATCAAAGATACCCCACTCTTGGAAGAAACCGAATGGAAGAATTAGTGAATGCAAAATGAACTGCACCAAGGTTCATGTGGTTCGAATGCTTTGTGGTGTTTAGAACACGCCCTTAAGCTCGCACCCATCCCCCATACGCCCCTCTATCCTCCCCCCCTTGATCCCCCCAGAAACGAGTTGCAGCAGGCGGAAGGGGCATTGCGCAAGGAAAGGGGAGCTTTGAGGCGACTGAAAGAGGCGTAGGAGGGGCGATTGCACCTTACTCCCCTTCCCACCCACCCGTCTATCCGTCCCTCTCCCCCTTCCCTCGCCCCTTGTGTTCCCGCACAGGCACGAGGTGCAGCAGGCGGAAGGGGCATTGCGCAAGGAGAGCGAAGCGGGGAGGCGACTGAGAGAGGCGTTGGAGGGGCGATTGCACCTTACTCCCCTTCCCACCCACCCTTCCACCCTTCCACCCGTCCCTTTCCCATTCCCTCGCCCCCTGCGTTCCCGCACAGGCGCGCGTTGCAGCAGGTGGAAGGGGCATTGCACAAGGAGAGGGAAGGCGGGAGGCAATGTCTACTGGGATGGTATGCTAAAGCAATCCCCTTCCCACGCCTGTCTACCATCCCCTGTATAACCCTTCCTCCTCCTTCCTCCCCTGCCCCAGGCACGAGGTGCAGCAGGTGGAAGGGGCATTGCGCAAGGAGAGGGATGCGGGGAGGAGATTGAGAGAGGCGTTGGAGGGGCGATTGCACCTTACTCCCCTTCCCACCCACCCTTGTACCCGTCCACCCGTCCACCCTTCCCTCTCCCCCTCCCTCGCCCCCTGCGTTCCCCCACAGGCACGAGTTGCAGCAGGTGGAAGGGGCATTGCGCAAGGAGAGGGAAGCGGGGAGGCGACTGAAAGAGGCGTTGGAGGGATTGCAGAGGGAGGGGGCGAGGGCGACAGAGCAGGTGAGCATCTGTGGGGGCGGTGTTGGGGAGGGGGTTCCCCAGGCGAGGGAATAAGGAGAGGGAAGCGGGGAGGCGACTGAAAGAGGCGCTTGAGGGGTTGCAGAGGGAGGGGGCGCGGGCAGCAGAGCAGGTGAGTGTGTGGAGGACGACTGGGGGGAGGGAAAGTGGGGGTGAAGTGGGGGGGTGGAAAGGAGGGGGAGGTGGTGCAGTGATTTGAGTAGAAAGGGAGAAAAGCAGGGAGTTTGCTCACCTGCCATTCTCTCACGACCATGTGACAATTCTGAGAATTCTCCGAAGGATCCGGCCGTGTGACATTGTGATGAGGTGATTTTATTGCTCTAATCAAAGGGAGAATCAGGCCAAATGCTCCCCCACATCGCCCCACCCACTTTCCCCCACACCCACCCTCAGATTGCGGCACTCCAAGCCAGCCTGTCAGAGTGTGAAGCAGAGGCGGGCAGATGGCGGGAGGCGGCTAAGGAGGAGGCAGCAGCGGGCAGTGCAGTGGCTGAAGAGATGGAGGAGATGCGCGAGCAGGTGAGGAAGGGGGGTGGGGAGGTGAGCATAGAAGCGTAAGGGTGAAGCTATTTTGCAAGAAGGGGCAGGAGTGGGAGGGCATTACACATGGTACACGCGAGGCCAAGGAGGAGGCAGCAGCGGGGAGTGCAGTGGCTGAAGAGATGGAGGAGATGCGCGGGCAGGTGAGGGCAGAGGGGTCAGGTGGAAGAGCGAAGAGGGGTACGGGTGAAGTTGTTTTGCAAGAGGGGGGGGGTGGTGGGAGGGGAAATACACATGGCACAGGGAGGCCAAGGAGGAGGCAGCAGCGGGCAGTGCAGTGGCGGAAGAGATGGGGGAGATGCAAGGGCAGGTGAGGGCAGAGGGGTAGGGGTGAAGTTGTTCTGCAAGAAGGGAGGGTGATGGGTGGGGAAATACACATGGCACACGGGCAGCAAGGGAGGAGGCAGCAGCGGGCAGTGCTGTGGCTGAAGAGATGGAGGAGATGCGCGGACAGGTGAGGGAAGGGGGAGGGAAGGTGAGGGAAGGGGGAGGGCAGGTGAGGGAAGGGGGGTGGGGGTGAAGCTATTTTGCAAGTAAGGGAGAGGGGTTTGGGGAGTGACAATACAGATGGCGGGAGTCGGCCAAGGAGGAGGCAGCAGCGGGGAGTGCTGTGGCGCGGACAGGTGAGGGAAGAGGGAGGGCAGGTGAGGAAAGAGGGAGGGCAGGTGAGGGAAGAGGGAGGGCAGGTGAGGGAAGAGGGAGGCAGGTGAGGGAAGAGGGAGGGCAGGTGAGGGAAGAGGGAGGGCAGGTGAGGGAAGAGGGAGGCAGGTGAGGGAAGAGGGAGGCAGGTGAGGGAAGAGGGGGTAGACTGATTGCATTAGAGGGCTGGGCGCACACACGGACACGCACACGCACGCACACTCACACAGATGCCCAGAGGGCAGCAGAGGAGGCACAAGCCATTCACTCTCAACCGCATTCAACTCCTCCTAAATCCCCTCCTCCAGCTTCTTACATTGGAGGGTGAAGCAGAGAAGTGGCAGAGGGCAGCAGAGGAGGCACAAGCCATGCTGACATCACGTGATGAGCTGGCAGCAGCAGCAGTTGCCGCCCGGGAAGCAGCAGAGCGGTCGCTCCGGGCGGCAGACAGGCGGGTGGCAGAGCTGCGTGAACGAGTGGAGGAGTTGCAGCAGCAGCTAGAAGACGAAACGACCCACCATAGCGGAGCAAGGGGGGCTGAGAACGCAGGTCGGGGATGGGGGTTGAGTGGAGTGTGGGGGCCGGGAGAGGGAAGGGGAGGGAGTGTGGTGGGGAGTGGGCAAGGGGGAGGGGTGGCTAGCCGGCTGTGCTGCTGTTGGCCGTGGTTGTCAGTAGGAAGAGGGAGAGGAAGAGGAGTGAGTGGGGAGTCAGGAGGAAGAGATGCGGATGATGATGAAGGTAACGCTTTGGAACAGCTGATGGTGCCACTTGTTTAAATTGATTCAAAAGATGCTGCATAGTTCAAAAAATGTACATTATTTTACTGTTTGAAGATGCACGGCAACCACAAAACAAAAGTGATATAGACTAGCTAGGTAGCTACTCGGATGCAGCCGGTTTTTTCATTCTCCTTCACTACGAACAATAATCTCACAGGCAGAACATTACATTATGTACAAAAGTTACATCTAATTAGAAGCCCAGACGTGCCCAGCTGAGCAGAGAACCAATGAACAGCCCCACCACAAGAAAAACCACCATCACCATACCAGCCGATTCGGCTCGGTCCCGAGGCACTTGGTTCGGGGCAGCCATCATAAGCAGGCTCGTTAACAGCCCGTTAGTAAACCCAAATGCCCCCGTGACAGCAGCAATAATGACCTCATGCCGAGCCCATAGGGGGCCCCACCACACACAGAGGGGGTAAAGAATGTAAAACCCCCCTCTAGCCAGTACTAAAGCCACTAATACCTTCAGATCCTTCACCAGAAACACTACCGGTGCCATTTTCCCAAAGAAATCAAACACGTTGTACATGCCTATAAGGAGGATGGGGTACCACGAGCCGAGCGCGTCAGACTGGAGCTCCGCTATAAACCCCGGAAAGATAGAAAGCGTGACTATATACACTATCGAGAGCGACGCCGCGTACGGCCATATCTGCTGCATGACTTCCCACTGCTGGCGGTATATCGAGGGAGCGGAGTCGACTATAGAGGGTACGTGTACGTGCAGCGAAAAGGCCCTGCCTTCAGCTAGCATGGCTTCTTCTGACCGGAAGGTGTGCTCCCACCAGGACACCACCCGATCCCACACCCGCCTCCCTGCCTTGCCCGAAGCGTGAGAATACCTGCCCTTGCTGATCGCCTGACTGTGACTATGAGCACGCGCATGCCTGTGACTGTGATCCTGGGTTTGGCTTGAGCTGCAACTGTCACATTCAACCTTACCGCCCTGACAGAATGCGTTTTCTGAAAAGTTTCCACCTTCTCTTTCCCCGTCTACCTCTGATATCTCGCTGCTGCTTGCGCTACACCCATCCATCAGCGGAGCAACGTCAGCCACTGACTCTGCTTCTCCTCCTGTTTCTCCTTCTGTCTCTGCTGCTGCTCCTGTTCCGCCTGCTGTGCCTCCTGCTCCTGCTGCTGATTCTTCTCCCACATCTCTTGCTGCTGCTCCATCTACTTCTCCAGGTGCGGATGCAACGTCTCGAGCTCGCTCCTGCTCCCACCACTCTGCCTCGTCTTCAATCTGCAGCAGCTGCCGAATCACCTGCTCCTCCTCTATCGTCGCCTCTCGCTTCACCAACGGCTCTAAAGCCTCGTCCTCACCCGCACCCGCCAACCCCCCCTCCGCAGCAACCTCCCCTTCCCCTTCCCCTTCCTCCGCCCGTCTGTCCGCCCCCACACTCTCCCCCGCGCGCCCTCCCCCAGCATGTCCTTCCGCCGTCCCTTCCTTCCCCCCTCTCCCACTCCTACCATGGCAGATTGCCTTTGCTGCTACAGCGCCCGAGCCAGGCCCGGCTCGCCGAGCCTTGTCCCGAGCCCGGCGCTCAGCCTCGGCGAGCGCGGCGACCTGGGATTGGAGGAAGACGATGACGGGGAGCGAGTGCAGGCGGCGGAAGGCGAGGAGGCAGACGAGCAGGATGAGCGCGGAGAGCAGGAAGTAGAGATGCGCGGAGAGACGCAGGCCCGTGGGTGTGTTAGGTAGAACCGCCTTGGTTAAGATGCGCACTACGGATACGACGATGCCTGCACGTGACAACGGGATGTGGTGTAACGAGGAACGGGACGCGAGGAACCATGATTGAGACAAAGTCCAGCTAGGGTCAAGGGGACCGGGAGAAGCAGCAAGAACCAGAGCACGAGCACGGGTTAACATCACGACGCAAACACGGACGGGATGCAGCTGACCAAATCGACTAGAAAGTTGTGGTAGCGATTGAGTTGTGAGTGAACAGGTCGGCAGGCAGGCACGGCAGGAGCGGGCAGCGGGTCAGCCGAAGCCAACCCACCACCCGCAGCCTGCGCCTGACCGCACGAACGACCTGTCCAGTCGGTCCATGTGGCGCCAAAGTCAAACCCGCATGGCGAAGTGGCGGATCGCCGAGCCAAACGAGTAATCAGTATGATGGCGCAGCGGCGGATAAACCGCTCGCTTTGTCGCATGCTGCTTCGTCATGTATCTGAAATGCCAGTGGCGTCTCACCTGAAACGCCGATCGCGTCACAACATACCTGAAACACTAGTCCCGGCAGCGAGGGCTTGCGTGTACCGCTCGTGCAGCTCGCTCGCCATGCCGAACAGGCTCCCCTGCACCACCGCATCTATCGCCCCCGACGCCGCAACCGCCGCGACTGTCATTGCCAGCGCCAGCGGCGATGACGCGGCGGATCTACCGGCCACGTCGGGACTGTCCGTGTATAGGAGGGCGTTGGGAGGGGTGGCGCCAGGAGCGGAAAGAGCGTCGAGCGCAGGGACGAGGAGGACGAGGAGAGTGAATGCGATGAAGCCGTGGACGATGCGCGTGCGAGAGGGGACATGCTGGCCGTACCTAAGATTGGAAAGGAAAAGAGACGAGTCAAAAATCGATTTTTTCATATATAGCAACTCAAAAGAAAAAAAAATCACCGTCAGAAAATACGTTAAAAACGAGCTGAGAGTGTTGTCGCTTACTCACAATAGAACAAGAATTAGAGTTCCGAGGTTGGCGAACATGTAAGCGACGCAAAACAGCGTCGCGACGTGAGCCGTCGGATAGAGCAGGTAGAAGTAATCAACGGCTGTGATGAAGGCATTCCACGGGAGGAGAAAGCCGACTCCCAGCAGCAGGAAGATGAAATAGGCGAGGTAAAATCGGTCAGGCGGAGCCACGTTAGAGACCGGGATATGGTCCGCCATGAGACGATCCGTCAGCATATTCGGGAGTTTTATGATGAAACTGGATCAATCCGCGCGTCCAGACAGCATGATAGCAGTCGGAGCCCTGGCAATCTGGGAAGAGGTATCTGAATTGGCTGAATCAGCGCATCTGGCGGCGGTTTATTGAATAGGAGGAGGAAAGGAGGTGGATATATTCGAGCGAAACACATCACGGAGACAAGTGTGTTCATGTACCTTCATGACGTGGTCACATGTTGCTCTGCTGATGACACAAATGGCGCTGTGAAGCAGGTAATGAAATGAGTCACAGGGATACCATTTCTTGGGGGAAGCAAGCAGCAGCACATGTTTCTGCCACGGACTGAACACAGCTCTGAGTCTGAACGGAACACCACTGCAGGGAAGAACACAGCTCAGATCCCAACACCTCTACCACGAGTCTTCATCATTCAGGAACGATCGAACGGTTGAGAAGAGACGCATTGTCATTTGGTCGATTGAACGGCACAGATTCTGAATTTCTGGCTAACATTGAAGCCAATCAGCAGCCATTCTGCGTCTCCCCTGCTCTATCAGCCCGCCATCGGTCACCATCACCTCTTTCTAATCGACGGCGCAGATGCTTTGAAGAATTAGCTTGACACGTGTAAGGTGGCTTCAGCCAGTAACAATCGTAATGCGTATCTAGCATCCCCATCCAGTGATAACATGCACGGTGATGTGGCACGCACATGTGACACTAAGCACCATAGAGATTGACACGTCTGGTGGCTACAGAAGGCTCGTTGACGTGTCAGATACTGATTCGTCAATCGGGTAAAGCGACGATAACTCCTGGCCTGGTAGAGCGGCAGTTGGTGGAGCCTTGAAATTTGGTGGACTATTACTAGACATGCGGAGAGAGGTGTGGTGGAGAGAGGTTTGGTTGGTCATGTCACGGACGCCACAACTTTCACTCCTAAATAATTCTTTATTCCAAGTTTTATCATCACATATGCGGGGCAAACTATGGATGTTATGTAAATATGTTTATGCATGAGGAAGAACATGTGGAACCGGATCTTTTAAAGCCCGAGTCTAGAATGGTAAGGCTTCAAGAATACTGAACTTGAAAGGTGTTGGGAAAGCGACGGAATGGGCAAGCGATGGTCATGTGAGAGCATGGGAGACACTCAGAGTAAGCGTGGGCGATGGACACGGGAAGGGAGAGCCACCTAAAAGCCGACGGGAGGGGAGGCGTATTCAAGTTCAAGAATCTTGAACTTGAAAAGTTGCCATTCTAGACTCGGGCTTTAACCACAAACATTTAAAGCCAAAAAAATATATCACACAACAAACAATCACACTCCGGCAAGACCTTATATCACACTAATTCTCCACTTGATGGTGAGGCGACTCCTAGGTCCTCGTCGTAAACCTGCAGCCATGGCCAAACTTGGCCTCGGAATCACTACTGCACTCCAAGCTGATGCACTCTCAACCCTGCACACAAAACACACTACGGGGTGAATGGGCCCCGACAATCTAGGTATACACACACTCGAGGCCCTCGCACACCGCACACCTAATCTAAGAGGGGTCCTCCTCGCAAACAATCCAATCAGCCTACTCTAATACGGGATTCAGCCGAACCCCAAGTCAGTAACGCAGCGCACGGCATTTCCTGCGATCGCCCCAGTAATATGGCTCCAGCCGCCAGCCCGATTAGTATCCGACATACTGCTTGACGAGACTGCGACCAACAAGAAGTAGAGCACAACCCGCGAAATTGTTGCGCGCCGTGCAGATGAGACTCGTCATCAACGGTGGTGGGAAATGGCTCCCGACGGGGAGAAGAATTGCGGCCGCGAGGCCATATTTACATGTTTCGACAGGTCGTGACTCCTGATTGGATCGGGAGCTCCGATAGTACGACCCGATACAGCCTACAAGCCGGCGACGCAATACAGGGCGTCGGTTGTGGGTTTCTGCTCCGAAGCGGGCAGCCGCCAGACGTCCATGCACTGAGAGACTCTTTCGGCACAGTCCTTAGCGAGCTGCGCACGCAACCGCTGGCTCTCCGCCCGTCGCCGAATCCGCTGCTTAGAATACTCGACGAAGTAGCTCTGGTTCTCCTTTTCCAAAGCATTCCACACTGCCAATAGATCATGATTACAACAAGAAAATAAGAGAGTCAGTCGAGATGGTAGCAGGACGCGACTGGAGATAGGTGGGCTTCCAGAAACTGGAAGAAGTACGGGACGGCGATCAACAGACTAAAGAACAGTTCAACGGTGGGTGTGAAGAGAGCAGGAAGCACAAGAGCGTACCAGTGGCAGTGATAGCAGGCTTGACTCCCGCGTGCTTCGCTAGAGCGACGACGCACTCCTCACGGCTCAAATTGAGCAGCAGGCAACGCTCAATAAGGTGCTGCACCATCTGCACGTAGCTCCTAGTCGACTCTCGGGAATCGGCCGAAGTCGGGGATCCTGCAGTGCCTAGAGTACGAGCTGGAGGACCCATATTGAGCTTGATCAAGCTATTGAGAGCTAAGGCGTCTGTTGCTGTATGAACGACGTAGCCTCAGGAGCTATCGGAGTGCAAACGGGAGAGAATAGCCTGCTAAACACTGGCGACGAGAAGACAACACGGTTTGAAGCTTGAAAGTTTTTCGTGATCCCCTATATTGACGCCGCGTGGGTTTTCGTATGGCGGCTGCTGCTTTCCTTATCGGAGGTTGCGTGGCGTGTTGCGCCAAATCTGCCAGCCCAATCGCCTGATGCTGCTGCTGCTGCTGTGGCTGGGTGGATGGGGTGGGTGAGTGGGAGGGAAGTGAGGTGAGTGGGTCCGTGGGAAAGCTGGGAGTGGATTGGGTGTGTCATCCCCTTGATCGGGGGGAGGTGAGGAAGGCGAAGGGGGGACGTGGCAGGGTGGGGGGTGGGGTTGCCCCCCACACGTCAACCTCCTCGGGGTTTCCGCCCTCGATTCCCCTACCCGCTGTGTTGGCTAGACATGCTCTCTGGCGGTCCTGTAATCGCCCAGCGTGGCGGATTCCAGGGGGAGCCTGTTGGACGCGCTCTGAATCTGATTGGACTGCGGTGACACGCAGGTTACTGGCCTGAGGCACCACCCCAACCACAAATCTCCCGCCAATCTCCACGGGCTCTTATTGGCTTATTAACGCTATGGCATCACTGGCTTGTGCGAAGGGAAGAAGCCACCTGCCGCCACGGTGGCAACCAGCGTGGAAAAATGATCGAATTGCGTAAGGAGCAGTCAGTTGAAGGGAGGCGGTTGTACATGGACGAATTCAAGGTACGACACGTCAGGATGTATTGCGACACACATGTGCCGTTGATTTCTTTGCGAGGGAAACCCTCTGGAGAAAATCGTTGGTGGAGGATATCCATGATGCTGAAGCGGGAACGTCGAGGAGTTGAAGAGACGTGAGGCCAGCGATATGGCGGGACTGGGGAATTTCAAACAGCCTATCCCGTTCAAACACGTCGTCAACCTTCTTGATCTCCCCAACGACAAGTGTACACCCTCTTATTCGTTTGGTGCACCCGCGATTATGCTACCTGCTCGGTACGTTCACATAGAAGGTTGGGAGCGATGCGTTTATGTCACATAGAATCGAATCACACGCGTGGTCAGATCAGCATTGAATTGCTAAATGTTGAAGAAAATTGGTGGAATAACGCTACAGTTACACGCATTCGCGCTAAAGACGAGGCCAAATGATTAAGGTATGATTAGGTCAGGCCGGCCTACAGTTGCAAAAACGTATTTACAGCCACATTTTGGGAGCAAGGGACGGCAACAAGCAGGGAAATGTGACTCTTAGACGTTAAAAGCATCTGGCAAAAACGACAAGCACCTCCAACCGAAACGCGCTCGGTGAGATAAACGAATAAGAGGGTGTATCTTGGTGCACCGAAATCTGCACATCTGGTTTCTCAACATCTTCTTTCTGTTCTGCCCCCACTGGGTCTGGGATAAAGACCCCAAAAAATCCATGTGACGTGGAAGATAGTTGATTGCTTGCAGCCTGCTAGAAAACAGAGCGGCGTCATTGCACTGTACAACACTGTACACATGCATTCTGTTATCGACGGAATGGAATATCTGAGATGTTTCTGCCTGAACGGGTCCTAGTTTGGTGTGCCAGAACGAGCCCCTCCAAATGAAATATGTACATATGGCTACACGTGGCGCAAGATGTAAACCCCATCTGCCCAACCAGAAACAAATCCCCGCCCCGAGTTGGGACCAGTGATGCATTCGGCAGCGGTGGATTCAGTGAACAGTGTCATATCGAGGAATCAAATTGATGACCTGCAAGCACTACGTAGGGTTGACGTCATCACTGATTGACACGTGCGAGAACGTCTGTCTCGCACGAGCAACACGTATGAGTACTTCGTGTAACTAAGGCACCAAGAAACCAGCAAACTAAAGACGTATAATTCAGGGAATCAAAAGAACTCAGCACAATTTGCCTTTCAGGACTGCAGCAGTTTACACATACAAGGCAAAAACTAACTATTCATTTTGCTACTAAAAAAACAAATGCTGCTGCAGAGCTGTAGTCCAGCCACATATGCACTGCAAATGGCTAATGCAATAAAAAATGACCGGTAAAATGAATCAGGCTTCCACCTAAACCATGTTAGTGCTAATACAGTACCCTGGTGTTGAGCACACTTTCATCAGCATGACCAGCATGGCTTGGCCGCTCCACGCGGCTACAACATCCTTTAGAAACCCTGTTGAATGTTACCGCATGGAGATAAACTCCTCACCAGCATTATTGTACGGGGATAGAAACCCGCGCAAAAATCCCCACGTGGGCATAGAAACCCTCACGGGTGGTGTCACTGCATGGGTCGCAGGCCGTGGCGCATGGCAGCGTCCCATGTGGGGTCGATTCGGCTCACATCAATGCGTCCCACCTCATGGTAGTCCCACTGCTCCAGTAGATGCACTAGCCCCCCCGCATGGCATGCATACATGTGCCCGCGAGGCAAGGCCAGCTG